AAAAAAAAAAAAAAAAAAAAAAAAAGAAAAGAAAAAATAGGGTCACTCTCTACCTGAAATGTTGAAACTTGCTTTATTCACTTAAGTATATATTGGACATGTACTATATAAATATACTGATTTACATAAAGATTTTAAATTATGTGCAATAATCCATAGGGAAAGCATTTAACAGATCAATAAGAAAAGAATAAATACCTCAATAGATTAAAATAGTCAAAAGATATAAACAGGTATTTATTATTCCAATTCCAAAGAAATCATTATGGTGACCATATTTTTAGAATTGAGTTGAAATGTCTCAGAATCTATTTAGACTTCCCACTCATATTTGAGGTGAATAGAAAATGATGGCAAGCACTGAGAGAGATGTACTCTCACATTGAGTCCATCTTATACTCAAAATGTATCAGATTTATGGATCTGAGAATTCACAACCTTAGTCATGTGAGGTGTTACTGACAAATACAAAGAAATAAAGAAATATATGAAGTGGTTTAGACTTTTTTCTAAGTATTCGTAGATAACTTGTGTTGCATATTAAAATTTTCTGAATCAGTTAGCATACTATTATGCAATTGTCCCCTAAAAATCAATAAAAAACACTATTGTATATGAGCCATCAGATTAAGATTGGGTATAAATGTAATAAAATTGTGCTATTATAAGTAAAATTTAGAAGTTAGATAAAGGAATGAAAACATATAATTAGTAAAGCTTACTTTACAAATGAGGACTATGAGGTAAAAGACAGTTAAAGGACTGCCACAGATAGTGGTGGGGTCAGAGGTTGAACTCAAGGCCTTTCATGTCACGGCTTATTTTTATCCATAGATCATAAACAGAAAATAGAAAATTTTCATTCTTATAAAGGAAAACAAAAAAAGAATTTTGGTTTATATTCTTACTTTCTAAAACTGTGTCTGGAAGAATCACTTTAAAGGCCGTGTAAGGAATATTCAACTCTTTGCAGTGTTTAGTCCAACAAGAGTCTTCCACATAATTGTATTCTACCACAAATGAGAAATTATTCCAGGGGAAATCTGCTCCAATATCTTGATTATGTACAACTACACAGGAACTTGTACTAAAGACAAAAGAAAGCCAAGAAAATGGCATTATACTTGTGTTATTATTTGCTTGGACTATTAAAAGATGACTGTTTCGGCTGTTCTATCCTTCTCTAATCTATGCCTCATCTTGGAAAGGCACTGGTGCATTTTCTGTTGATTTGCTCTGCAATTGTGTTAATTTCTTTATATTTTTCTTATTGATGATCATATATTTTTATACCCGAATACAAAAACCTGTAGACTATTTCATATCCTCAAATGGGAGACAGCCTGATTTTACTACCTGAGTACTATCAATAGCAGAAATAAGTGAAAAATCAGTCTCATTTTCTTACAAATATAAGGTCTTAATCTTAGATAATCTACATAATAGGTTATTATCTGACAACTTTGAAATGAGATTTGTTTTTCTTAATGGGCTTCATAAATGATTTAACAACAACAAAAAAGATGGACACTTAAATATCATAAATTTAGCTTTCCTATCTCATAAAGTCACATAAATATTTTCAAATCTCATAAAACATACCACCTACTATAATTAAAATTCTCTATTACTGCTTTTTATCTAGGGCAGTCTAGAAGTTAAAAAGTATCTATGTCCAGTTTTTATGAGCTTCTATTTGACTTACATCTTTTTTTATTTGTATCCCAATATTTGAAAAAAGATTTCTATGTAAAATAAGGCAAAATAAAGAGTTTTACACAATTCAACAGTCGATTTATGATTAGCAGGCCCTCACTGAAAGAATTTCTAAAGGACATACTTTAGGAAGAAGGAGAATCCCAAAGAAAGAAGAGGTAAAAAATAATGCCGAGCAAAAAACTGGTAAAACTATACTCTAAATAGGCACTTTTGTACTAACAATAACAGTATTCTTGTTATTATTTGGGGATATTAAAATAAGATTGAATTAAATTTCTGCACACTAATAACATATAATACACAGGACAATGACCAGAACTAAAGAGCCCTATATAAAGCATTTTTCAGTAAGAGGATAGAGGCATTGATTAATTTCAGATTTTGTTAAATTTTTAAAGTCAAATTCTAGAAAGATTTGCTTTTCCTGTGAAACTGGTATGTTTGTTCTTCATAGATAAAGGAATGAATTTTTACCCCTTTAAAACACCTTCAGATTCCAGAAAATCTGTCCTTTCATTTGAATGAAGGATAGTCAGTGTTAAACCTGTTGGAAAAAAAAATAATTTTTTCAGTGTGTTGTTCAGATACATATTTTTGGTATGTCATATATTTTACTACCATAAAAATGAATTAAAAATCTGTGAATAAAGAAACTCCTTAAAATACAATTTGCTAGATTATTTTTCTAAGTTTAGCATATCAGAAAGTTTGAACCATAAGCAGTATTTCTCTTGTGTGTATATGTAGAGGATGGAAATTCTAAATTTATTATATAAAATAAAATAGATTAAAAACTTGTATTTTTAATTTTTTTTTTTTTTGAGATGGAGCTCAATCGGTTGCCTACGCTGGAGTACAGTGGTGCAATCTTGGCTCACGGCAACCTCCGCCTTCTGGGATGAAGGAATTCTCCTGCTTTACTAGGATTACTAAGTAGCTGGGATTACAAGTGCCTGCCACCACATCCATCTAAGTTTTGTATTTTTAGTAGAGACAGGGTTTTAGCACATTGGTTAGGCTGGTCTTGAACTCCTGACCTCAAGTAATACCCCCCGACCTTAGCCTCCCAATGTGCTGCGATTACAGGTGTGAGCCATTGCACCCCACCAAAAACTTAATTTTAAAGTAAGCAAATTAAACACTCACCAATCCTGTGCAGTTAATTTTATTTTGCTAAATATCATGGTAGATTTTCTTTGTTCTCTAGCCAAAAATTTACATACTAAATAAGAGACTGTATTTCAGTGTAATAGGAATGCCTTTATTCTCTTCCTGCTGAGTATTTAGAAGCAGAAGACTTATTGGGAACTGTTTCTTAGATTCATTCTTGCTTCTTATACTTTAAATTTCTTATTTTACTAATGTTTAAACAAAATATAATAAATTTAAAAATATTCTGTACCCATCCACACAATTTATTTTTGGTAGACATAATTGATTTGAGAATAGCTAATTCTAGTTCAAATTATATATTCTATTAGTGTATTTTTTCAACCATAAAACTCACAAAGGTGTGATATAATAATAATGAGAGTAATGGTTAATAATTTCATATAACTTTACTTGACAATAGTTCTGGTAGAGATAAGAAGTGAGTACTATTTATTTTTTATAATTCGTAAGGTGATTCTTCTTTATAAAAGCTAATCTGGCTGGGCACAGTAGCTCATGCCTGGAATCCCAGCACTTTGGGTGGCTGAGGTGGGTGGATCACCTGAGGTCAGTAGTTCGAGACCAGCCTGGCCAACATGGCAAAACCCCATCTCTACTAAAAAAAAATACAAAATTAGCTGGATATGGTGGTGCAGGCCTCTAATCCCAACTACTTGGGAGGCTGAGGCAGGAGAATCACTTGAACCTGGGAGGTGGAGGTTGCCGTGAGCTGAGATTGTGCCACTGCACTCCAGCCTGGGCAACAAGAGTGAAACTCCGTCTCAAAAAACAAAACAAACAAACGAAAACCTAATCTGCTTAAATGATTGTATTAGTTATGATCCCAAAGCAGACTAATTACTTGGTGAGTGCATTACTAGATCTGACAAACATAGAGAAAACAGAACTACATTTTTACTTTCTAATACTAGGCCAAAAGAAAAAGGTTTAGCTTCCAGAAACAGGATAATTGCCATCCTGAAAAAGAGTAAAAACATCTTCCAGTTTATAGATTCAAAATTTTTGTGTCAGTAGACCTTGTTGAAATGAAGATAACGAGATCAGCGATTACATAATCCTGAATGCCGAAAGAGACAGGGGTATTCAGCATGAAACCTAGATAAGCGATCCGTCAACAAGGGTGACTATAGTCAATGATAACTTGATTGTACATTTTAAAATAACTTAAAGAGTGCAACTGAGTTGTTTGTAACTCGAAGGATAAATGCTTGAGAGGATGGATACCCCATTCTCCATAATGTGCTTATTTCACATTGCATGCCTGTATCAAAACATCTCATATAACCCATAAATTTATACACCTACTATGTACCCACAAAATCTAAAAAATAAAAATAAAAAAATCTGTCAATATATCTTCAGTAACATCAAAGGAGAAGGTGTCCCACTAAGTAGGTTTAAATATTCTTATCTGTGGAGCAGACATATTTCCTCAGGTTCTTCACAAAAACACTCCTTTGGTTACCCAAGGCCCTTTCTTTTATAGTGCAAACATTGCTCAGCACTTTCCTGATTTAAAAAAAATGTTTCCAATTACCCTGATAACAGATAACTGTGGTAGTCTCAGCCCCGTAATTGTTAACTATTGCACCAACATTTCAGCACTAGTAAGGATGTTATGAATTTGGTGGATACAAATTCATCTTCCCAGGATTGGAAAACTAAATGAAATAAGATCCAAGTTTACAAATCTGGACTCTGGATATATGATAACTTCATCAAGAAATAGCACCTTGTAAGGCTCTGCTTGAAAGACTTTTCCACCCTCACATTACTATAATTTAAAATTTTAGTTAACTTTACTTCCTGCACCTATGAGCAGATATATGTTGCTATATTTGTATATTTCAGTTCAATCTTTTTCACTAGTTTCAGTATGTACTAGGTATATAGAGGGGTACTCATTGGCACATTCATTTGTTCAATAAATTTTTATCGAGTACCTGCTATGTTGTAGGAATTTTCCTGAGCGCCAGTATGATCTGAATCCCCCAAAAGCAGACATTTTAGTGAGGAAGATAAGAGGATCATTTATAAGGGTGATAACACCCTTATAGCCTGGGGTGGTAAGTGGTGCCTCAGAAGTATGCACATAATGCCCTGAGAGCACAGAGGAAAAGCATTTAAATCAAGACTTCTTGAACAAATGTTCTAATTAATATTTAAAGAACGTGTAGGAATTATCTTCCTAAAGAAGGAGGAAGAGTATTCTCATAGCTGGAACGGGGGTAGGTATAAAGGCATAGAATACAGAATATGAAACAGCATGATAAACAGTTTGGTAAGGTAAGTGTAAAGAACTACTTTAGGAGATGAAGATGGCAAAAGATTCAGCTTATAGAGGGAAAAGAAATGGTAGCCAAAGGATGACATAGGTTGATGGTGGTATTTTATTTTATTTTTAAGACTGAAGGGCTTAAACATTAAGGACAAGAGTCATTAGAGAGAAAGGTTGGGCTAGGAAGTAACTGATGGAGCAAAGTGCTTGAGATTGCAGGAGGAGATGGTATCCAAAGCTGCATTATCACAAGCTCCATGGCATAGCCAAGGAACTGAAGATGAATATAATTTTTGTTGTGGAGGCCAGTGAAACTATAAAGCCAGGGTACGGAATGAATAATTCATGTTAGAAACATTAAAGGTACCTAGAGTAATGACAGGACTAGAAATGTAAAGAATACCATGAGTTAGGAACACAACTGTCCACGGATGATGGGAAACGACCAAGTAGTTAGTAGATGATGAGTGGTAGAGAATAGTATGGCAATATGGCACAGACTTAAAAGGTAGAGGAATAATGCTTTGAAAATGATAATGGAAAGCAAGAAATGGCTTTCTAATCTCTATGAGGTATATATATGTAGAGAAAATGATCAGCTTTTATATGAGAGGAAGCAGTATCATGTGGGGAAAGTTGGGTTTCAGTTAGACAAAGGAGATGAAGAATGAGAAGAGTTTGCGTAACATGCAATGGATTCTACAACACAAAGTGGAAAAGGTTGACAGAAGGAGCAGTAGTGGGTAGAAAAGTGTAGTGAGTGAGGAAAACAGATTAGAGAACTGAAAAATTGGGAGTTGAAGAATGATACTAAAACAAGAGAATCCTAAGTTCAAATACTGATTCCCTAAATACCTGTGAGGTTTGGCATGCTACATGATCTTTAGCATGAACTTTAGTTTCTTTATTTGTAAAACTGAGTTAATAAAACCTATTCATAGACTTACAAGTAGCTAATATTATTTAGCAACCAGTAGGCAATCAGTAAAAGGTTTCCGTTATTAGTTATAACAAATACATGTAAACACATTGTAGTATATATATACTGCAAACTTATAGTTCAGACTGATTTAAAAGCTGGTTAGATCCCAATGAGTTACACACTTTCGAAGGGTGAATTTTATGGTATGTTAATTTTATAATTAATTTTAAAAGCTGGTTAGATCAATACATTTTTATAATTTCAAGCATTTGTTATCAAATGAAGCATAATTTAAAACTGCCTACCTTCTATTTTGTTAAGAATTTTAATGAGTAAATGTTTTTCACCATCTGAGTCCATTCTTATTATAATCAGTACCTAGTCAAAAATAAAAATTTTATATATATGTGAATGATTATTCTTTTTCACAGTTTTGATCAGTGACAAAATAACAAACTTTAATTGGTTCTATGAAACTAATGACAATAAGATTACATAAGTATTTCTGTTGTAAAAGATGTCAGTACTTGAACACGAATATATATATATATTCTGGCAAGAAAAAATATCAGTGAAGAAAATATTTTGGGGTAGGGCATTCTCAGCATTCTTCAAGTATCCCCACATATGTGACTATCAATACATAGGTTGTCTCTGTTGATGTTGAATTCAACCCACACAAGTTTAAATTTGTTGGAGAAAACCAGTGATCTGTTGCTATATTTTACTACTTACCATTACGGTTTTGTGGGGCAGAGATGGGGAGAACAAATCAGTTTCAATTTCAAATTTCCCACTTAGATTAAACTATTTTAATGACTGAAGAAAGTTATTACCCAAGAAACTATAAAATTGAGGTTAAAGATATAGGAGGCACAGAGTGAAAAATGAGAAAAAGGCCACATAAATTTATGTCCAGATTTTCAGTGTAAACCATTTAAAATGCTTTTCTGCTTGATAAGATTTTTAAAAGTATTTTCTGTTAAAACTTCATTAATGCAACCTTGATGTAGGGTGGGCAAATAATTGTGAACGTAATCCAAGGCATAAACTAAATGTTTGCTTTGGTGGAATCATATGAGATTCTGGCTCAGTATTTGAAATAAAATAAAATAAATAAAATAAAAATAAAATCAACAAATCGTTGTAGTTCTATTATATGTTCATGGACTTATGTAAGTATTTAAAATAAATACTGACTCAGTATTTTAAATAAACAAATCATTGTAGTTCTGTTATTATGTATATGTTCATGGACTTATATAAGTACCAGACAATTGGAGAATTGGAGAACTAATCCATAGGAAAACTATGCATAATAAAAGTTAAAGTTTATTTATTTATTTATTTAGAGACAGGGTCTTGCTCTTTTGTCCAGGCTGGAATGCAGTGGAACAATCATGGCTCACTGTAGCTTCAACCTCCTGGGCTCAAGAGATCCTCTCATCTCAGCCTCTCTAGTAGGTGGAACTACAGATGCACACCCATGCCTGGCTAATTAAAAAAATTTTTTTTTTATAGAGACAAGGTCTTACTATGTTGCCCAACTGGTAAAGTATTTTTAAATTTGAGGCATGAATAATGATGCAAATCATCCTTTCTATGGGTCTGATTCTGTTATCTTATTCAAGGACTAAACCATCAAGGGGCTTAGTAGTATAAACCACTTCATTATTTCAAAGTTAAATGCAAAAAATGTATCTTACATCCAATTCTTTACTTTAACTGATTATTTTACCTGCTTTTTTCCAATACTTAACCTTAACTTGCTGTTGACATTGCATCCAATTTAGTATCTGACATTGCAATTCTTGTATCTTGTAGTTGGTTTCAGGCTTTTTCCCCCTAATAAACTGTACAATCTCCAGCTGTCTCCAAATGTCACCCAAATAGGGGCCTAAAATGCTGTTGTAGATATCTTTTGCCTTTGACAAATATCCTATTAAAGCAAAATTAGAAAAAAATTGCCTTTGTTTTTTAAGAAACTCCATGGTAAAAAGACTGAAAGAAAATAAGTCAGAGACACTTAAAATTTCCTTTGTTTTCTGATTTTGATCAAAAATATTGACTAATAAAAATTAATAAAAAACTTTAAAACTGAATGAAGTTTAAAAATATATACCACATTGCTCTTTTTAAGCTGCATATATATACATTAATATATGCTACATACTCGCTGAATATATATTCTATTCTTTCCTGCCTCCTGGCTTGTTGAATGCTATTACACTCTTCCTTAATCCCAGTATCTATATTTACATGCAAGTCTTGTTGAAATGCTACTTAAGTGGAATTTTTTTGGTATTTTATCTATACAACTTTTGTACTTGATATCTGCTTATTTATGTATATCACTTAGTCTATAAGCTCTTTGGGAGTAGAATGTGGTATCTATATTTATACATATTTAATTCATACAGCTGCTAAAACAGCAGTGCGTAATTCACGCTCACTAAGGGCAGTTTTAAATATAGATTCATCTTGAAGGTTCATATTCAGTACATCTAGAGTGTGTCCTAATTATTTCTATGTCTTAAAAGCTATCCATATGATTCTGCTGCACGGAATTTTGTAAATTACTGCACTAGAGGACCTGGCATCGTAACTCATGTAGATCAGGCGTTTAATGAATATTTGAATAACAAATGAAATAATAAATTTTTAAAAATTTAATGTTTATGTTCAAGTTATATATATATGTGCATATTAATTCTATTTTTATATTAAAATTGCTAGACTGATGGGCAACTTAGAGACTGACTTATGTTCTTTATGCCTCCTCATCTTCAGACCTCCCACTGACTCTCTATATTGCCATCAGAATTAACCTTTTGAAAAATAAATGTAATCCAGTAGCATCCCTGAAATTCTTTTGTGTGGCTTAAAGGGTTCTCCGTGAGTTGGCTCTTTCTTGTTTCTCCAGGCTTTAGCTCCTGTTACCTTCTACTTGTCCTCTTCAATCTAGCCGTATGGAACTGTTGGCAACATATCCACTGGTCCATTCCTCCGGGCTCTTAATTCTGCCTAGAATACTCTTTTATACTGTATCTACTTGGCAAACTTTTACTTATTTTTTAAAAAACATATTCATCTTAAGGATAATAGTCTCCATCCTTTGTACCACTACCATATATCTCTGTTGTAATACTTGTCACATTCCATAATAAATACCGAATTTATTTCTGGGTTAAAACCCAGAACAGAAACTCTATTATTTGAACCTCAAACTCACTACCTTGCCAAAATGTATGTAATGCTTAGTATAATAGAAAAGAAGTCTACATAATTTCTTATAAGGTGTATCTTTTTTAGAAAAGTAGGTTATTTCAGATGAAATATTTAATAGAAAGAAAAGGGGAAATAAAATATTCCCAACCCAATGCTGTGTCCAAGCTGCATGTTAAAAGGACATCTCTAATTGTTACCAGAAGATGTAAGAGAGCAGCATGCTTGAATGTCATTTCTCTTTCATCATTTGTACCTAAGTAAGCAAAAACATATTTTAAAACATAGACAATATATTACGGTTTCAGAATATGTATCAGAATCTGCCTACTAATGGGAGCTACCATTTATTATTGAGTGCTTACTATATGCCAGGCTGTATATAAGCTGGCAATTTCATTGAATCCATAACAGTAATCCTATGAGACAAGTTTATTATGATCAAAATTTTATGAATGACGAAATAGTATTAATGAGGTTAAGTAACTGCCCAAGGTCAGTTAGTGAGTAAATGGTAGAGCTGTCATTCAAACTCAGACAGCTAACCTTAGAATTCATGTCCTTGTTGCTTCCAAAGAATATTCACTTATTTCTGCTCCTATTGGGGAAAAGAGTCAATGATTCCCAGTTATGAAACAAGATAAAAATAAATTCATAACTTACCAACTGATTAAAAGTAGAGGATTATAACATGAAGATATACCCTGAAATGGAGGTAGACACCTAGGAATATTCATTCAAAGGTATAACTCAAACAAGGGATAAACTCACAGGGACAGGCTAATTGCCTAACTGTGTTCCATTTAGTTCCAGAGCTCTTTTGGATGATAGGTTGGATTTTTCTGCATATAAAAGTGAGACCAAGAAGATGGTATTCTAGACCCCCTACCCCAATTTAACCAGAGAAACTCTACTTTTTTCTTTTTCATATATTGGGATCTCATGAAATATTTATTTGAACAAAGAATGCTGCTAAAAAGTTTGCAAATTGATGATATCTTCAATGAAGATCAAGGCAAATATGTAGTAGGGAATTAAGAGGCAATAGGAAAGCCAATTATGGGTAATATATTCAGCCCCTAGAAGGACCTATGGGAACAAGTCAATGATGACCTGCAAGAGATGAGAATAGGGCAGAGAAAACATATGTGGGGAACTGGAAATGTAAAAAATGCTTGGAAAATGGAGTACAGACTAGGAATCTGACTTCTTTTAATCTAGGTTTACTTAATCGTTACTCGTAGGCTTAGTTTATCTCAATTCTGGAGCCAAAAAAAGAATATTAACTATAACAACTATGGACTTGCTCGGGATTAACGCAACGTTGTTCCAACTGGATACCCAAAACCATGTCCCTTTTTAATTATCCATTATACTTCATAAATACTTATGCCTGTATATTTTATAATAATCATCATTCTTCTCAATGATGTTCAAAGCCTTAAGAAGCTCAACCCATATTCAACCAATTTAAAACCTGAGAATTACAGGACTGAAACTATATCCAGAAGACGTTAAGTTTTTAGTTTTTGGAAGTCTTGTCTTCTTTCATAATGGCCAGTTTGCTGAGAATTGTTCTTTTCTATCCAGTATAATCATTACCAGAATGCCAGCTCCCCATTGATCTTGATGCTCTTTCTGTGGCTCAGGTATTTCAAGTAGTAAACAATGGATTAACACCTTCCTCTCAGATCAAGTATTCTATCTCAGTAATACTACCGTGACCTCAAGGTTTTGGTGACTAAAATGTTGCTCCCCGCAAAGACTGGACACTCTATTTGGAAGAAGATTAAATTCAACTTTCTTTTCATTTGTAAAAGAGAGTTAACCTTTAAAAAATATATAGGACATCTAAGTTCAATGAATTTAGAAAATAGACTTTAAAAATAAATTAAGTAGGTTCCAGGTAAGATGGAGTAAGCACACTTCGCCCTTTCTCTTCCATTGAATACAACGATAAACACAAAATAGAATACACGGAAACTCTAAAAGGTAAATGGTAGCAAGTAGACTGGAGGAGATCAGATTTCAAAAGGCCACCAAACAAGTGGTGAGTTTCCTTTTTTTTTCACGTCTGATATTTACTAACCTAGACTAAAGCAGACCAAGGCCCAGAAGTACATACCACCATGTGGACAGAAAGAACTCCAAAAGAAGTCCTCATTTTGTCTATTATAGAAAACTAGATTGATGTTTTTTGCTTTCAGAATTTTCAAAAGGTTACTCATTGTCTTTTCATTTGTATTATTTATGTTAAGAAATCTCATGTCACCCCTATCTTTGTTTCCTGTATGTAGCATGTCTTTTTGTTCCTCTGGCACCTCCTACAGTTCTTTTTTATTATTGGTTTTGAGTAATTTGATTATGTGGACCTTGTTTTAGCATTCTTCGTGTCTCTTGTACTTAGTGTTCATTGAGATTTTTTGCATCTGAGGGTTTGTAGTTTTCATTAGTTTAGAAAGATTTCAGTCATTATTTCTTCAAATGGTTTTTTCCATTTACTCTCTTTTCTCCTCTCTTTTGAGAACGCTAATTACCAGAATGTTAGGCTACTTTAAGTTATTCCACAGCCTACTGATGCTCATTTATTTCTTTATTTTTCATTTTTTCATGCTTTACAGTTTTTGTAGAGTAATAGTTTCTATTGCTATGCTTTCAAGTTAACTAATTTTTTTCTTCTGCAATATTTAATCTGCTGTTAACCCCATCCACTATACCTTTCATCTCATGCATTGTAGTTTAGTCTCTAGAAGTTTGATCTAGATCTTTTTAAATGTCTCTAGCTTTTCAAACATACAGAAAACAGTTATAAGAAGTTTCAGTGTCCTTTTCTGGTCATTCTAATGTCTTTGTTGATTCTGGGTTTGTTTTGATTGATTATTCTCATTATGGGTTGTATTTTCCTGCCTCTTTGTATACTTCATGATCTTATTGGATGCCAGACATTGTGACTGTAACCTTGTTGGGCATTCTTGTATTCATATAAATCCTCTTGTGCTTTATGATGGGACGCAGCTATGTTCCTTGGAAATAGTTTGATCCTTGGGGGGTTGCTTTGTGATTTGTTAGGGAGGTTCAGAGCAGCGCTAAGTCTAGGGATAATTATCTCCCACTACTGAGGCAAAATTTTTCTGAGTACTCTGTTTAATCCTATATTAATTATGAGTTGTTCTAGTCTAGCTGGTGGGAACAGCTATTATTCCTGCCCGGTGTGAATGCAGCATACTAGGCCCTCTAGTCCTTTCAGATGGTTTGTTTCTCCAACTCCAAGTAGTTTCCTCACATATATTCTTTGTTTGTTTGTTTTTGAGATGGAGTCTCGCTCTGTCGGCCAGGTTGGCATGCAGTGGCATGATCTCGGCTCACTGCAACCTCTGCCTCCCAGGTTCAAGCAATTCTCCTGCCTCAGGCTCCCAAGTAGCTAGGATTACATGTGCATGCCACCACACCAGGCTAATTATTGTATTTTTAGTACAGATGGGGTTTCACCATGTTGGCCAGGCTGGTCTTGAATTCCTGACCTCGGGTGATCCACCTACATCGGCCTCTCAAAGTGCTAGGATTATAGGCATGAGTCACCACGCCTGGCCACTTCACATATATTCTTTGATCAATCATCTGCTGAATACTCAAGGGACATCCTCTGCACAATTCTATACTTTCTGTGCGAAGCTCTCTGCTCTCTAACATTCTGTTTTGATTATCTGTCTTGGTCTCCCTGGACTCTCACCTGTTTCTTCAACTCAGATTGTCCACCAGGCTCTGCCTCAGGTAACTTTCTCTACACCATGGCCTGACAATTCTTTCAAGGCAGTTAGCTAGGGTAAGAGTAGGGCTCATTTCACTCATTTCCCTTCTCTCAAGAACCACTGTTTTTCATTGCCTGATGTCAGGGTCTTTAAAAACCGGTTTCATGTATTTTGTCTTTGTCTTTTTGTTGTTGTTTTTTGGTAGGAGGGTAAATCTAGTCCCTGTTACTCCATCTTGGCAGAAAGAAAAAGTCTAGGATTGATTTTAATTGATCTAGTTTTTGACCTCCTTTTTTGGGAGGAGACTGAGTGGTTCAGATGCGGACAACAATAAAGTTAATTTTGTTTCTGCAATAGGAATCTGTCAAGTGATACATGTCAATTAGGAGCTTCACTGAGAAGCAATGCCAGGTGATATTTCTTACCTTTTTCTCTACTTAGCTGATCCTTCAGTATTGATTTGGCTGGGTATCATAAGCTGAATTACAGTCATGATATAATCTATGACTAATTTCTGAATCTTCTATATTCAATTTTTACTAATTTGATACAATAATTTCTAAATATATATTTTTAAATAATATGACTTTTATTTGCACTCACCTTGGTAAACAGCATCACTTACTACTTTTTCTTGTTCCTTTAAGAGAAACCTTGTTTGGTCAAAAATAACAGTGGCAAATTTCCAATTAGCAGTAGGGAGAGTACAAAAGGATACAAGGTTTTTTAAGATAGGAGAAGCTGCTGCTTCGAGGAGGCAAAATGCTTGGCACTGGCTATCTGCAAAAATAAAAGCAGTGATGGCAGTGTTTTAATAAAGATGGTATTCTCTTTTTGATAAACCAATTAAATATGTTATTTTGTGGAAATCTGAACTTCTATCTGAATTATTTTCTGAGTTAAAAATCATGAGATTATATAAAAACTTATTTTAAGATATTTATTCTACATAGGCTAATTAAAAAACTCATGGAATTATATAATTTTATGGCTATATTATTTGAGAGGGTTTATTCCATAAATAACTTGACATGGCAAATATAAAGACCCATATAAAGAGAATTGCATTTTTTTATTTGCCATTCTCCATTATTAGCATACAATCTTAAGCCAAACAATGAAAAATTGTTTCTAGTTTTCTCGAGAATAACATTAACAATTTGCATAATCATCTAGAGACCAAAAGAATGAAAAGATGAGAACCTGGGTCATATTTCCTTATTGATTTTAATAATGAACCTGATGTTCTTAAGCAGGCTGTTCTTTAGGAGTTGAAGAATATTATTCTTTTTTTTTTTTTTTTTGAGATAGAGTTTCACTCATGTTACCCAGGCTGGAGTGCAATGGCGCGATCTCGGTTCACCGCAACCTCCGCCTCCTGGGTTCAGGCAATTCTCCTGCCTCAGCCTCCTGAGTAGCTGGGATTACAGGCACGCACCACCATGCCCAGCTAATTTTTTGTATTTTTTTTTTTTAGTAGACACGGGTTTCACCATGTTGACCAGGATGGTCTCGATCTCTTGACCTCGTGATCCACCCGCCTCGGCCTCCCAAAGTGCTGGGATTACAGGCTTGAGCCACCGCGCCCGGCCAGAATATTCTTCTTTACAGCATAACAAAAAAATCAATATAGGAATCAATAGTAACTTATTTACATCCCTCTGATAATGGGTAAGAGAACACAGAGAGCATGATTAGCAGTTCATTTTCCAGACTGGGTGGAAGAGTCCAAGGAGGTACAGTTGTTCACAGATTGATATAGGGAAGCAGCAGTAGTTTAAATTAAAGAAGAAATAACACTGAATGGCTTGGGCAGGGCAATGGGGGAGGCAGGGGCAGTGGACTGGGCATTCCAGGTTGGAATATAACTTGAAAGTAGGAATGGAATGAAGAAATATCTGAAACAAGTGAAGAAAATGACATGGAAAATGCAGTATGTCCTAGCTATCTAGGAAAGGGCTTTCAAACTAAGCAAATATGAATGCATTTTAAAAGCATATACCATACCTGACGCTTGAATTTCAATGACATTATCTGTTCCCCTTTCCTGATTTATTTCCTCTAGGGTTTTATTAATATGAATGATAGGACTTTCTTCTTGAAGAGTCAAAGAACATTCTTCTTTATCTTGAAATTCCAATAAAAAAATAAGTTTGTGTTGTTCAAGAGAAACTTAATGTTGTTTTACGTTAATTTTTTTTCTAAAATATGATCACAGTTGTTAATTTTCTTCATTGAAACACATCAGTATTAAAGTGAACAACTATTCAGATCAATGGACCTAACACTGCTAGGTAGGAAGATGAATGGTAAAAATGGAAAATCCTTTGGTATTAGATCAGTATTTCAAGCTCAGTTCTGACTCAGTTTCCTCATATGTAAAATATGGATACATATATCTGCTTTAAACACCAAGTATAGCTTCTGACACAGAAGGTATGTACCGTTCCCCTTAATTTCTCTGTGACTTTCCACATACCCTTCCTTCTACTACTAATCCTCTCCTCTGCCCCAAACCTTCCCTATTTCCATCTTTTTTTCTTTAACTAGGCCAATTCTTTTTCTTTTCTTTTCTTTTTAAGACAGTTTCTCCCTTTGTTGCCCAGGATGGAGTGCCATTGGTATGGTCAGGGCTCACTGCAGCCTCGACCTCTTGGGTTCAAGCAATCCTCCACCTCAGCCTCCCAAGTAGCTGGGAACACAGGCATGTACCACCATCCTGGGCTAATTTATTTTTAAAATTTATTATTATTAGTTTTTGTAGAGATAGGGTGCCCTATGTTGACCAGGCTGGTCTCAAAATCCTGGGCTCAAGGGATCTCCCTACCCAAAGTGCTGGGATTACAGGCATGAGCTACTATGCCTGACCTAGACATGTTCTTACTACTGCACCCTGCAGGTCTCAGGCATCTTCTATAAAAAGTCATATGTAACTGCCCAAAATCCTGGGCTCAAGGGATCTCCCTACCCAAAGTGCTGGGATTACAGGCATGAGCTACTATGCCTGACCTAGACCTGTTCTTACTACTGCACCCTGCAGGTCTCAGGCATCTTCTATAAAAAGTCATATGTAACTGCCCACCCGACTTCCAGGCCAGCAAAGGCCTCCCACTTTTGTTTCTTTATCACTCTGACGATTTCTTTCCTGGTACTTGCCACATTGTATTGAAATGATCTATCTGCATATCTGACCTACTCTATCACACTGTGAGCTTCTCAAGGTCAGCAACAGCATCATATTTATCTCTAATACGTAATTTAGTGCCAGGCACAAAGTGCCTAATAAAATATTAGTTTTCTTTCTTTCTTAGGTATTATAGAGGATTTCTTCTTTCCTAGGTATTATAGAGGATTTACATACAAACACAGATACACTTAGAAGTCTAGTTATTTTTACTATACAATAGTATCATTTATCAGTAATATGATTACAAAATAATTCCACATTAACACATTACCATCTCTAAATACATGGTTAAAAATATAATAATGGGCTATATTCTAAACTAGATTAATAATGCTACTTTCGAGTAATACTTTCAATTAACCATAATTCTAATAGATCTGATCAAATAATATTAATTATTAAAATTTTTGAGGGGGCCTAAGAATTTATAATATTACTTGCTTGCCCTTGAATTAACTGTAAAATAAGACGAAAAGTAAAATATACACCAAAATATTACCTCTATTACCATTAAAGGCTAAGTTGGGAAATAGAACTTAGTCTGAGAGTCAAATGAGCTTGCTAACTAAACACCAGAATCAGACAGAGTTACCCACCCAGTCCTAGGGTATGCTGGACTGAGACAGGATACCCCACTGGGTCCAGGGAGGGCAGGGGAGGTCAGGGATACTGCCCAGGACAGAGTCATGACATAAAAAAAACAAGGAGAACTCTTGAAACTCATTCCCACAGCTTATATCCAATTGATTATTTTGACTTTACAATTCAGATGATTCTTTCCATCCCCTCTGGAGAGATGTATAAAAGAGCAAAGAGGCCAGGAACATAATACTTAATTGAGGAAACATCAGGAGTACAGAAGCATTCCCTCATAACATTAATGTTCTTTAATTGTTTCATGAATGAATGGCTAGTTTTTTAAATAAGAAAAGATAAAAACGTTCTTTTTTATATTTTCCTCCTTTCTTGCTGCTTTCTCTCATTTTCTGTTCATAATATACCCTATTGTAAGTCATTATCTCCACTATAGCAACCAGAAAGATGTCAGTGCTAATTTTGAGGTAGATTTCTTTTTTGGACCAAATATAAATAGAATCATAAAACATGAACAAATCTGAGAATAACAAATCTTTGAAAAGTTCCTATTTTTGTATCACATTTATAAAATAATTATTTATATTTTCCTCATTTACATGCAGAAGTGAGGCTTTAATTATGGTGCAAATATTGGTTAGAAAAAGCTCAGTTACATACAGAATTGTCATCTGGCCAGGTAAGTTATAAGGTGGCCAAACTATTACATAAAAAGAAACTTTAAGGTGAATATGTAGAAATATAAAAGAAAACAAAATTCTGAAATCTTTAAATACTATTCTGCATTTTTACCATGAAAAATGCACTGATTGACACAGTAATATTACTTTTTTTTTTTTTTTAAATGACAGCTCACCTTAACCTCAACTCCTGGGCTCAAGACATCTGCCCACCTCGGCCTCTTGATCTGGGATAACATGTGTGCCACCACACTGGGCTAATTATAGAGATGGGGTGTCATTATGTTGCTCAGGCTGGTCTCAAACTCTTGGCCTCAAACAATCCTCCTACCTCAGCATCCCAAAGTTCTGGGATTAGAGGTGTGAGCCACCTTGCCCAACCTCAGTAATATTACTTTAAGCAGATTTATGAAAGGCTGTCACATCTTTTAGAAAAATAAGTATAACCATCATGACATTAAGAACTGAAGATCTTGTGTCTAAGATCTAACTATCTCTAAGTCACATAAGTATTTTTGTATTCGTTAACTGTGAAATGGGGTAATAGTACCTACTTTGATTCCTCGACAATGTTTCTAAATAGATCAAATATGACAGTAGATGTGAAAGTGCTTTATAAAGCATAAATATACCTGTATTTATGATAATATTATTATCCTTATGAAGAAAGAATAGGATTTATCAAACAGGTTGATCATTAAAAATATTTCTGGTATTTCTGAATGTAACAATATATAAATATTGAAAGTTTCCAGTGTCCCTGGCCATTAGGTTGAACTAGTGTGTACTGAATTTTAGGAATAAACAATAGTAGTCAATGAATAAATAAATATTGTTGTGTTTATTTCATCAGGGTAACCAATGTCAAACTCATTCTGAAATGCCTATTTTGTTTTTATGAGAGGTAAAATGAAATGACACATTATATTTCCTTTGATGTGGCTATAAGCAGTGAATGTAAGACAATTACAACTCAAACAAAAACTGTTAGATAATGTTAGAAAGAGTAATACACAATTAAGTGGGCAGAGAAAGTTTTCTTTCAAGTAGACATTAAAGTTTAAGTTAAAATACTGAAATAGGACTTACAGCTAAAAGAGAAAAAAGAATGGCAGAATTGACCAGCAAAAGTTAGAAATACTATGAATTTGTAAGGTCCTGTTGTAGAAAGCAAGTTTTACAAATAGTGGCTTTTGTTACAAATTCAAATGCACTTTTAGATTTTTTGAAAAATACGTATGTATATCTAAATTATGCCTATATAGCCATAAACTATCTGTATACAAGAAGTCTCAACAATCAATGACATTTTCCTTAACTATGAAAAATAATATAATTTTATCTAGAAGAGCTTTATTTCCTTTTCTTTTACAATAAATTATGTGTTTAGTCCTGAGACTACCATATCTATGGCAAAATATTATTAAAATACCTACCATGTTTTTCATCACTGTTTGTGACTTCAGTCTTTGAGGTGCAAGTCTTATATTTATTTCGTAGCATAATAAAGTCGTTCAAAAGGTCTAAATCATTCTCTTGTTTTTTACCATGTTCAAAAGATGCTTTTTTAGTTATTGAAGAGGAAGGTGATTTAATAGATGGTCCTATGCAGTCAAGTTCAAAGTGATCTTTATTTTCTTTCTTACGGATTATTCTGTTTACTGGTTCTTGGTCATTTGTTGGTTTCTCCTCTTTTGCTGGTCTTTTATGAGAGAAATATTCATCAGAAAAACATAGATCTAGTACTTCTTTTGCCAGAGGTAGACTCTTTTGTGGAAGTGATAAATGATCATTTGTAGATTTTTCATCAATAAGTGCAATAGGTGAAGAATGACTTTTATGTTCTAGACATGCTGAAAACAGAAAATAAAAAATACACAAATAACTTCTACACCTAAACAAGTGTTCTATTAGGTATTCAAATAACGTAGTTGTGGTTTCTTATTAATGTAATTTGATCTTTAGCGGTACCTTGTTTACTGCTTTGAAAATCAATTTTTAGTCTAAATGAAATAAATTTTTTAAAAGGATCAAAATTTAACACTCTTTTTCTTATTACAGGAGCTAGTTTACCAAGCAAAGAAATTCCAGTAAAGCCCTTTTGCTGATAGGCTTATGAGTCATAGCCTTTGAGGTAACAGTCACTCTATGGGTCAAATACTTACTTATCAGGCAAGCCACAACAGAAAAAAATACTTGCAATACATATAACTGACAGAGGACTGTATCCAAAATATATAAAGAACTCTTAAAACTCTATATTTAAAAAGGAACCCAATTAAAAATTTGGCAAAAGACTTGAACAATAGTTCACATAAGAAATGCATATTCCACAAAATAGATGAATCTTGAAAACATGCTAAGTGAAAGAAGTGTCACAAAAGATCACATATTGTATGATTCCATTTATATAAAATGTCCAGAAAAGGCAAATCTACATATAGAGAACAGTGGTTCCAGAGCTGAGTAAAATGGGGAGTGACAACTAATAAGTACAGGATTTCTTTTTGGAGTGGTAAAAGTTTTCTAAAATGGTTTGTGGTAATGATTGCACAACTCTGAGATTATACTAATAGCCATGGAATGGTGTACTTTAAATGAGTCAATTGTATAGTATGTGAAATATATCATGACAAAGCTGTTTCAGGAATACGTCAGAGATATTATGGGTTCAGCTTTTCCTTTGCATTCACAACTTGGCTGTTTGATGCAAGAGACCTAGCTTTTCACCTAGGTCAACTCTCAACATGCCTTTTCTACTTAATCATTTCTAGCCTTTGATTTAAAGTGAGAGTTGTGCAACTCTTCCTTTCACTTGAAGACTTACAGGCCACTGTAGGGTTATTAATTGGCCTAATTTTAGTATCTTTGTGTCTCAGTAAACATAGAGTGGCCCGAAGAAAGGGAGGGAAATGAGGGAACAGCCGGTAGTGGAGCAGTCAGAACACACACATTTATTGGTTCAATTCACTTTTTTATATGAGCATGATCTATGGTACTCCAAAACAATTACAAAATTAAAATCAAGGTAACTGATCACAGATAACTATACCAGGTATAATAATAAGAAAAAAATCGGAAATATTGTGAGAATTACCAAATGTGACAAAGAGACACAAAGTGAGCACATATTCTTCAAATATCCATATAATGTATTGAATTTATAAAACTACATGAAGTCTTTATTGTGATATGTAACTAATTTGAAATTAAAATAAAACATATTCATATTTTATATTTTTGATATCTAATAAGTTATGATGGTAATTCTAGAGTTGGAAATGCTGTTGGAAAATGACTGCCAAAGAATTGCTTGATGCAAGATTGCCACTAAGCTTCAATTTGTAAAAAAGACAATTGTCTGTGAAGCACAATAAAATGAAGTACAATAAAATGAAATGTGCCTGTATTTTTAAAAATGATATACAAATGGCCAATAAACATGTAATTAGATGCCCAATATCATCAGTCAGGAGGGAAACAGAATTAAAACCACAATGAAATACCACAACACACCCATTAGAATGATTAAAACTTAAAACACTGGCAATACCTGGTGTTAGCAAAGATATGGAGTAACTGGATCTTTCACACATTGCTGGTGAAAATGTGCAATGGCAAAATTATTTTGGGTAGCAATTTAGTAGTTTCTTACAAAAGTAAACATATACATAAGACTCAGCAATTCAACTCCTAGATATTCACTCAAGAGAAATGATAAGGTGTTGGCCTGGGACAGTGGCTCACACCTGTAATCCCAGTACTTTGGGTGGCCCAGATGGGAGGATTGCTTGAGGCCAAGAGATTGAGGCCAGCCTGGTCAACATAGCGAGATTAAAGTTAATCTCTAACTAACTTTAAAAAAATAAATAAAAACTTACAGAGAGAAATGATAACATTATCCACAAAAAGACTTGTACAAGAATATTCATAACTTTTTTTCACAATAATAAAAAACTGGGGGAAAAATCCAGAGGAATTGATAAACAAACTGTGGCATAGCCATACAATGCAAAATTCCTTAGCAATAAAAAGAAATGAATTAGTGATACACACAACATCATGAATGTATCTCAGAAATGTTATGCTGAGTGGAAGAGGGCAGACACAAAAGAACTTACACTATTTGATTCCATAGGTGAAATCCTAGGACGGGTAAACATATAATATATAGTGATAGAAAGTAGACTAGTGGTTGTCAAGGACCAGGGGGTAGGTTAATGAGGAGGAGAGGCAGGATAGAGGGAGAGTGTCTGCAAAGGGGCATAAAGAAATGTTATTATGATAGAAATACTCTGTATCTTAATTGTAGTGGTAGTTTCACAGGCATATATGCTTATCAAAATTTATCAAACTGTACAGTTAAAATAGATGCAGTCTTCCTGGACTGGAAACATTTGTGTATGTTGTGATGTATCAATGGCAAAAGAGTAATGTATCCTGGAGACAATGAAATCTTCACATTTGGAGCCCTCCTAGGTTCCATCAAAAGCATCTCTTTCTTTGGCTAATATGTGTCCTTTCCCTTAATAAACCATATATGTGAGTACAATACAAACAAAACAGGTACAGTTTTATTTTATGTACATTATACCTCATAAAATAGATTTGGGGAAAAAAATGCCTATAGGGCCAACTAAATAATGTAAATTAGTAAAATGTATGGCTACTGCTTAAATCACAATCTTTGTTTGTATAGATGAACTTTATATTGTTTTCTTCCAAAATGTAGTTTATAATTTTATTTTTGTTTTTGCTTTTATTAGCGATATTGGTATAGGAAACATTTTACTTTCCTCTTATACCTAAATGTAAGACAAAAGTGTCAAATGTCAACTAGCAACAGGCTTTGATTTGTAAGTCCTGGAAACTGTGGTGGGCTGGAGAGCGCATGGTCTGTTTATAGTGATAAGCTGCTAATGGCTCCAGCCAATTGTTGCCATATCAGAATCTGAGTCCAGTTTTTTAAATTTTAAAGATAAACTCAAAATACATATTATATATGTAAAATCTCCCAAATTTTAAATGTTGGTAATTGGCCAGGCACGATGGCTCACGCCTATAATTCCAGCACTTCAGAGGTCTGGAGTTCAAGACCAGCCTGGCCAACATGGTGAAATCCCTCTCTACTAAAAATACAAAAATTAGTCAGGCATGATAGTGCGTACCTGTAGTCCCAGCTACTCAAGAAGCTGAGACAGGAGAATTGCTTGAACCCAGGAGGTGGAGGTTGCAGTGAGCCAAGATAGTGCCAGCCTGGGTGACAAAGACTGTCTCAAAAAAAAAGTTGTTAACTAATTAAAATACCATATGAGTCAATAATATGTGGGCTGAATAGGATCCAAGTGCCACTTTTCAGATATTCTCTAGTGGTAATCTAGTATGTCTAGCAGGTGAATAGAAACTTTATTATTTCAGTTTTTTCATTATTTCCCTTTATTATTCTCTCTTTAACCACCCCTACTTGACCATTTGGCATGGATTCCAGATACAGTTATTGCTTCTTAAACTTCAGAATTATATTGCTATACATTTAACTATACTGTTAAACATTCATTTTTTTACAAATTGAAGTTCTGTGGCAATCTTGCATCAAGTCTATTGCTGTCATTTTCGAACAGCATTTTTAACTTCAGAATTATCATAACTTATTGGATATCAAGAATATCAAATATGAATGATATGTTTTATTTTAATCTCAAATTAGTTACATATTACAGTAAATACTTTACATAGTTTTACATATTTTATACATTATATGGGTATTTGAAGGCCTCAAAAAATCTTCTCCCTTTTCTTTTGTCTACTAACCTGACATAATGTTATTTAACATTCTTATTCCACCATGGGTACCATCTAGGCCTGAGATGGACTGGTGTGCATTTGCTTGATATAGTCTGTTTATCTGTTCTCTTTCCTAGTCATCCAAATGTCTCTGTCTTCTGTCTTTTTAAAAAATTTATTTTACATTGCATCTTGTTCTTTTTATAAGGAATATTTAAGAAGTAAGAAAGCAGATTTTCCTAGGTTACCTTTGAACCTGGAATTTGTGTTACCACTTTCTTTACATTACTAGTAAGCCACAGGAGTACACAATAGAAATGAGTGGAAACAGAGACAGGGATATAATGACAGTTAATTGTCTATCATGTATTTATCTCAAGGAGCACTCATACATCTGTTACATATTTCGGTATTTGCTACTTGTAGGTTTTTTGTGATTAAAAATATAATTTGAACTTTTATTTTAGATTTAGGAGTACATGGGCAGGTTTGTTACCTGGGTATATAGGGTGATGCTGAGGTTTGGGCTATGATTGATCCCATCACCCAGGTACTGAGCATAGTACTCAATAGTTTTTCAACCCTTTCCCCCACTTCCCTCCTCTAGTAGCCCCCAGTTTCTATTGTTACCATCTTTATGTCTACGGGTACCCAATGTTTAGCTCCCTCTAGAACATGCAGTATTTGGTTTTCCATTCCTGCATTAATTCACGTAAGATCATGGCCTCCAGCAGCATCCATGGCACTCCAAAGGACATGATTTCATTCTTTTTTATGACTGTATACTATTCCATGGTGTGTATACACCACATTTTCTTTATCCAATCCAGCATTAATGGGTACCTAGGTTGATTTCATGTCTTTGCTATTGTGAATAGTACTGCGATGAACATATGGGTGCATATATGAGGTGAAAGACCTCTATGAGGAGAACTACAAAACACTGCTGAGAGAAATCACAGATGACACAAATAAATGGAAAAACATTACATGCTTATGGATCGGAAGAATCAATATAGTTAAAATGGCTATACTGCCCAAAGCAATACATAGATTCAACACTATTCCTATTAAACTACCAACATGATTTTCCACAGACCTAGGAAAAACTATTTTAAAGTTCATATGGAACCAAAAAAGAACCTGAGTAGCCAAAACAATCCTAAGCAAAAAGAACAAAGCCAGAGGCATCACATTACCTGATTCCAACTATACTATAGGGGTATGGTAACCAAAATGGCATGGTACTGATACAAAAACAGACACAGGACTAATGGGACAGAATAGAGAACCTAGAAATAAAGTCACACACCTACAGCCATCAGATCTTTGACAAAGTCAACAAAAATAAGCAAGGGGGAAAGAACTCCCTATTCAATAAATGGTGCTGGGATAGCTGACTAGCCATATACAGAAAAATAAAACTGGATCCCTACCTTTCACCATATATAAAAATTAACTCAAGAAGGATTAAAGATTTAAATGTGAGAACTTAAACTATAAGAATTCTAGAGGAAAAACCCCTCTGGACATCAGCCTTGGGAAAGAATTTATGACTAAGTCCTTAAAAGCAATTGCAACGAAAACAAAAATTGCCAGGAGGGATCTAATTAAACTGAAGAGCTTCTGCACAGCAAAAGAAACTATCAACAGAGTAAACAAACAATCTACAGAATGGGAGAGATTAATCACAAACTATGCATCCGACTAAGATCTAATATCCAGAATCTACAAGAAATTTAAACAATTGAACAAGCCAAAAACAACCCCATTAAAAAATGAAGAAAAGACATGAACAGACACTTCTCAAAAGAAGACTACAAGAGGCCAACAAACATATAAAAAAAGTGTTCAATGTCACTAATTATCAGAGAAATGCAATCAAAATCACAATAAGTTACCATTTCATACCATTCAGAATGGCTACTATTAAAAATTCAAAAAAACAATAGATGCTGGTAAGGCTGTGGAGAAAAGAGAACACTTAAACACTTGTGGTGGGGGATGTAAATTAGTTCAGCCACTGTGGAAACAGTTTGGAGATTTATCAAAGAAATTAAAATAGAACTATGTTCGATCCAGCAATCCCATTACTATGTATATGTTTAAAAAAATATTGTTCTGTCTTCTGTCTTTGAAACATGCCTTGCTGATAACATTTGTTATTCAGATTCCTTAACTTCTTAGACCAGTCTCCCAACATAGATAGTAATTTCTAAAATTTATTTTTAAATATGTTCATTATTCTATAATAAACTATAAACACTCCCAAATCTGGCCAGGCACAGTAGCTCATGCCTGTAATCCCAGCATTTTGGGAGGCCTAGGCAAGCAGATCACTTGAGATCAGGAGTTTGAGACCAGCCTGGCCAACATGGTGAAGCCCCGTCTCTACTAAAAATACAAAAATTAGCTGGGAGCAGTGGTGGACACTTGTAATTCCAGCTACTTGGGAGGTTGAGGCAAGAGAATCACTTGATCCTGGGAGGCAGAGTGTGCAGTGAGATGAGTTCATGCCACTGTTCTCCAGCCTGGGCAACAGAGTGAGGCTGTGTCTCAGAGAACACACACACACACACACACACACACACGCACACACACATACAGACACACACACACACACACATAATTCATGCTAAATATGTTTCATTTACTATTAATATAATACCATATATAGCAACCAAAATAGCTCAAGACATAAAGACTCAAAAGTCATTTTTGCCTTTTTAAGTTGTACAGTAAAAAATGAATTAGTAAACTTTTAAGTAACAAAGGAAGATTCTCTATTGTTCAAGAGAGACATTACTGAATGCCAACGTTCAGCTGTTAGGTCAAAAAACAATTACAGCAAAATGCTGACCTATGTCTAGGCTGAGTGAACAGAAATTGCTAGCAATTTAATCATTTATAAAAGGAAACAAAATCACTTTAAATGAGAATTGCTAGAAATTTTAAAACTGAGACTATAGAATTTTAGGACATAATGAGATTGTAGGATTAGCTAGTCAAACTTCGTCATTTTTTTTTTTTCAAGAAAATGGGACCTAGAGAAATCCAAAGTCATAAATTCTGGCAGAGCCAGGGCCTATGTGGAATGCTAAAACCTAGTGATTTTCCCAATTACCTAGAGGAAATCCAGAATCTAATATTTTCACATTCTGAAAATGTTTACATGATTAATATTTACTATTATGTACTTACATTCCAATTGAAATACTTTTGTAGGCAAAAATATCTCCATTTTAGTGTCATTAGAAGACAGATCATCAAGACATAAATCCGTATTCAGATGTTCCAAAGTTTGCATCATTTTCAGATTTAGTCCTGCTTGTTTCCACCACTCTGTGTTTACGGGATTAATAATAAGACTTTCTTCTTTAACAGATAATATCTTTTTCAAATCGGTAACTGAATATTGGCTGTGGGGCTCTTGAATTCTTGGCACTTACAAAAAAATAGAAACAATTAGTTAGACACAGTCTACAAAGCAAAAGAAACAAAACACAATAAAAAGAACCACACTGGAATTTCTTTATGAAATGCATTTTCATGCATTAGGAAAAAAGTAAAACTTAAAGTTATATCTGGTATTTTTGTTTTCAAGATGCCAATATTTGTAAAAGTTCAAGCTACTATAGGAGTAGAAGTCACATAAAGGATTTATTCCACTCTTTGAAAATATGAAGAAGTTAAAATTATTCAAATATTTGATATGAGAAGGAACTCTTATTTTGTTTGGCCATTTTCAATTACTAAATTAATATATTTGATTAACACTTTGAAGTAATATAAGCTTTATTAGAAATTCTAACTCATTATAATAAACCTAAAGAAGAAGATTCAGCTTTTATGATGACTATATCATCTAAGATATTGTGGTACAGAGCTCACTGCCTCATTACTTTTTAGCCTAAATAGGGAGAAATCATAACATATGGAGGAACTGAAGTAGCTCAACTACCTAATATTATTTATCTGCATTATAAACATCAACCTGAAAATAGGATTATAAATTTTGAAACCCTAATTTTGGAACGGTGCTTTTATAATGACAATAATATTAAGAAGAAATCAAAACTTAAAATAAAAATACTAAATAACAGTAATTACAAGTTACTAAAAAAATCTGGCACTATGCTAAGTGCTTTCTTTATATGGATTATTCTTTTGTTTTTTTTTTTGAGATGGAGTTTCAAGTTTCACTCGTTTCCCAGGCTGGAGTGCAGTGGTGCGAGCTCAGCTCATTGCAACCTCTGCCTCCCAGGTTCAAGTATTTTTCCTGCCCCAGCCTTCTGAATAGCTGGGATTACAGGCGCCCACCACCTTGCCCAGCTAATTTTTTGCATTTTTAGTAGAGATGGGGTTTTACCATGTTGGGTAAGCTGGTCTCCAACTCCTGACCTGAGGCAATCCGCATGCCTCCACCTCCCAAAGTGCTGGGATTACAGGCGTGAGCTACTATGCCTGGCCTATATGCATTATTCTTAAACCCTAAATAATTCTATAAGAGAGATATAATTTTAAATAGCTTTATCAAAGTATAACTGACATGCAACAAACTACACATAGAGTGAAAAGTTTGATAAGTTTTGACATATTTATACATTCATGAATCCATTACTACAGTCAAGGTAATGAGTATATCCATTCCCTTCAAAGTTTGCTCCTGCCTCTTTATATCTCTCTTCTAATCTTCCTCGTCCCCCAGCCCCTGTCCCACTGTTCTGCTTCCTGCCACTATAGATTAAACTGCATTTTCTAGAATTTTATATAAATGGAATTATACCATATGAATTCTTTTTTTGTGGTTTCTTTCATTCTGCATAATTATTCTGAGATCATTTATGTTGTATGTATCAACAGTCCATTTCTTTTATTCAGATAGAAATAATTGTAGATTCACATGTAGCGGTAAGAAATAATACAAGATGTCTTGTTCCCTCCTTTTTTTGTTTTCAAAGTATATTATACTATGTAACTGATAATTCCAATATATAATCTGATTTTGATGTCTAATGTTTCTGCTTTATCTCACTGGTGATCCCAATATATTTTGTGATTTTTGTCTATTAGCATGTGTTTCTTTCAATTTTGTGGAAGGTCTTTGAAGCCTGAGTTGAAGTACATTCCTCAGGAAAAAATTTCCTCTAGAAAGGATTTATCGTTGTTTATGTGTTTGGTAGGCCTGTCTACCTGGGACCACTTTAAATTAAATCACCACTATTTTTTCAAATTATATAGGTGGTTTGAATTCAGACTGCAACCAGGCATGATGGCTGCCTTCTGGTTAGAAGCACTTAAGGGAAAGTTTTCTTCTTTTCCTTTCTTCCAGCTCCAAGGTAGAAATAGGCAAACTTATTTGGAGTTCCCTTCTATATGGTGGTTTATTTTTATATGCTCTTATTTTAATGGTAGTTTGTTGAACTCCAAGTTTTATGTAGGGTTTCCCTATTAGACTCAACACGAAGGATATTTCTTGACTCTACACTACATGTAGACCTCAAAACAGAAGTTCAAAGTCTCCTAGGTTTAATGGAGAGCTTGGAGGGAAAGCTAGCTTTGGTGCTTACTTGCTCCCCAGGATTCCTGTTTTCACTTTGTTTTTGGCCTCCAAATGCAACTCAGTGATTCATTTAAAAAATTTTTAAAAGAATACCTTATCCAAAATTCCATTCCCATAATGGAACAGTTCAGACACAGACAAGAGTTTAACTTAGGTAAATTTTGAATATACATGTGAAACGTACATTCACTTCAAAATTATTTTGTTAAACTATAAACAAGTTTTGCTAAAATGCTTTTATTTATTTATTTTTGAGATGGATTCTCGCCCAGTGTTGCCCAGGTTGGAGGGCAGTGGCGATCTCAACTCCTGCAACTTCCACCTCCCTGGTTCAAGCGATTCTCCTGTCTCAGCCTCTAGAGTAGCTGGGACTACAGGCGCATACCACCACACCCAGATAATTTTTGTATTTTTAGTACAGAGGGTGTTTCAACATGTTGGCCAGGCTGGTCTCAAACTCTTGGCCTCGATTGACCCACCCGCGTCGGCCACCCAAAGTACTGTGATTACAGGCGTGAGCCACAGTGCCCGGCCGTTTTTTTTGTTTGTTTTTTCTGTGTGTGTGGTTTTGTTGTTGTTGTTGTTTTTGTTTGTTTGGTTGGTTTCTTTTTCTTTTCTTTTCTTTTCTTTTTTTTTTTTTTTTTTTTTTTTTTTTTTTTTTTTTTTTTTTTTTTTTTTTTTTTTTTTTTTTTGAGACGGAGACTCGCTATGTTGCCCAGGCTGGATTGCAATGGCGTGATCTTGGCTCACTGCAACCTCCGCCTCCCAGGTTCAAGAGATTCTTGTGCCTCAGCCTCTCAAGTAGCTGGGACTACAGGCACGCCGCTCCATGCCTGGCTAATTTCCAGCCGTTGCTAAAATGTTTTTAAATGTCCTCTTTGGAAAGCTTGGGAAATGAAACATTTTAACTTTGGATGTGATTTTTTTTTTTTAAACAAGCAACTCACAACCTTGGAAATAGAAATTACGTGTATGGGACTGTTTTGTGTACTACTTGCATTTCTTTTCTTTTCCCTCTCCCATGTGCAGGAATTATCCAGAAAATCAGCAGGATCCAGATCTTGTCATACACTTCTGTACCTAGCATAATGAACCTTATGGAAGATATCTTGATATTTTACCTTTAGGCTAAGTTACATATTCTGTGTTAAGAAATGGCCAAAGAAAAAGGATACCCCACATTTCTACTGGTTGTACCTTTTAACCTATACTTTCTATTTACCATTTAAGAACAATTAATCTTTACCTGTAAGCAAAAATGAGTTCAAAGGGCTTCTATAGCTTTCTAATTGCCACATCATGTAGTATTTATTAGCTGATTCTTCAGCAGTAAGCAAATTACTGAAAAAAAGTTTAACAATATTAATAATATTGAGTCTTTGGTATAATAAAATTTTGTTTTAAAAAGTATTTTAAAGTACTTTTTACACTCAAAATCAAGTGAAAAATTAACTTTATAAATGTGTAAACTGCAGTAGAGTACCATAGACCAAATATCAAATACAATACTCATTTTCTCCATTCCTGGGAAGGTTTGGTACTTTGTAAACTCAATTGTTCCTAATTGACTATAAATTACTCCCACCTTTACCTCCCTCAGTGGCACCTGGAGCCAGAGAGGGCTGACACAGGAGGGTTTTAGCACTTCCCTGCATAAACTATGCTAGAACCAATCTTATACACCACCAAAAATAGAAATACAATCTTAGTAAAATTACCATGCTTACCATGAAAATAGCAACTTCATTTATTAAACAGGGAATCTGAACCTGGAAACCATCATTCTCAGCAAAGTAACATAAGAACAGAAAATCAAACACCAAATGTTCTCACTCATAGGCGGGTGTTGAACAATGAGAACACATGGACACAGGGAGGGGAGCATTTCACACTGGGGTCTGTTGGGGGGAAATACGGCAGGGACATCAGGGGGTGGGGAGTTGGGGAGGGATAACATGGGAAGAAATGCCAGATATAGGTGATGGGGAGGAAGGCAGCAAACCATGCTGCCATGTGTGTACCTATGTAACAATCTTACACATTCTCCACATGTACCCCAAAACCTAAAATACAATTTAAAAATTTCTAAATAAAAGATTGAAAGAAAAAAAAGAAAATAGCAACTTCAACAAAAATTTTTACATAATTACTATCCCCAAGTCCCTTCTGTATAAAAATTCTGGATCCTCTACAGGCTGAGGATCAGTACTATGAAAAAGTCCTTCTCTGGAGATGGCAGAGTCCTAAAGTATAGTTCAAGACCTTCAATCTTGCTGGGTTTGTGAGTAAGCGATGTGTGTTTGTGTGTGTTTAGGGGTACTGGGGGCAGAAGGGAGGAAATGCACATGACAGTCAGTGTAAATTACAGCTTATCTGTAGCTACGAAGCTACTAGCCTTGGTAGGGGAAAGATTATTAATTCATAAACTCCTTAATCTGTGCCCTAAACCTCTTGCTAACCTGAGTGGGAATTGATTGTATTGGGTTTCTTTGTTCATATGGAACATACAAGAGCATGCTTATAATTAGTAAGTACTGCCAATTAAATTGACAGTCTAGGGCAGTGGAAAGCTAGGTTTTATGTCTAAGGCATCCAGTTTACCCACATAATCCAAAAATCTGGTCATGTGGCAGAAAATTTGAGAATCTAGACAATTCTTGAATCTTACCAAGGTTTCTTCGACAACACCTCAGATTGTAAGCAACTATTTTAAAGTGAAAGGAAGGGGTAATACCTAGCAAGCCATGTCCAATATAGACATATATTTTCACTCTTAATGATGCTTTCTGAAGACATGTCTGAATCTGATACATTGTTTGTTCATAAAAATATATTCACAAGTCGGCAGTCAGTACATTAATAAAATCTCATTCCAGGCAGACTTTTCTTTTTTAGCACATAAAATCTAGCATAGAATCTCACATGTTGTAGGCACTAAAAATATTGTTAACTGGGTATTATTTTCAGCCAAATTGTGTTCTGAAATAAAAATAATTGATACCTTAAAAATAAGTTAAAGCTATAACATTCCTTATTATTTTCCCTTCCTTTTAAAAAAAATTTTTAACACTTTTTCTCCTTGTTTTTAGTTTTGCAGTTGAGATATGCAGTAGTTCCCCCTTATCCATGATTTCAGTATATTCAGTTTCAGTTATCTGTGGTCAACCATGGTCCAAAATATTAAATAGAATATTCCATAAACAATTCATAAGTTTTAAATTGCACTGTTGCGAGCAGTGTGATGAAATTTGACGCCACCCTATACCATCTCACCCAGGATGTGAATCATCCCTTCACCCAGCATATCCATACTATATATACTCACTACCTGCCCATTTGTCACTTAGTAGCATTCTCAGTTATCAGATCGGCTGTTGCAGAATCACAGTACCTGTGTTCAAGTAACCTTTACTGAATTTAATAATGACTCCAAAGCACAAGTGTAATGATGCTTGTATTTATTATGGTTGTTCTATTTTATTATTAGTTATTGCTGTTAATGTCTTACTATGTCTAATTTATAAATTAAATTTTATTATAGGTATGTATATATGAGAAAAAAACAGTATATATAGGGTTTGATAACATCTGCAGTTTCAGGCATCCATTTAGGGTCTTGGAAATTATTCCCCCTGGATAAGGGGGGACTACTGTAAACTCATTTTTAAAATATAGATTTTTAAGCTTTTACAGTCACCAAACCAATGGAAGTGATTTATCTCTTGCTCATAAATGTAGTAGTAAGGGGACAACTTCTTTCAGTTGTTTCAAATAACTCTAAAACCATTAGCAATTTGAAAGCCTTTTTTGTTCTAACTTTGCCAAATCATTAGTTAAGATTTGTTTCATAAATTCTTATTAGATATTTTAGTTATAACAACAGACATATAACATGTGATTAAAAAGAGCTTATTACAGTTTATATACTTTTAATATCAGATTGAAATTAAAGATGACGGTAATTTCTGCTAGTTTCTGTTTCTAAATATCCCAATCTGCCATAACAGATGGATTATGGTATATGGAGTAAATAAAAGAGTAAAAGGGCACTAATAAAGACAGCACATGTCCTGCAAATAAACATCTTTCACCTTAGCAAGGGAACTAAAAGTATTTAAACAAATTATATGCAGTTTCCATACTTGTCCTATGCAATTTGTAGGGCTCATATCTAATATGGACAAGTCTTAGTTATAGCACACTCTGTATAACACAAATTTGCTCCAGAAATGTAAATAATTCTTAGCTAGAAGATAACGATATATTTAGGGCCCTCAGTCTCATGCTTTGGCACTTTCCTGAGACCATTAATAGAAGACTAAGCAGCCAGTGATAAATTATAGAGCCTTGACTTCAGTTGCTCCCAGTAATCCAAATAGCACTCTCCTCTGGCAGATCAGCTAATCCTAACAAGAACTCAAAACCTAATACACAGCTCCCACAGTTTCCAGTCCTGGAATAATTCATTAGAGACTTGTAGACTTTACTGTCGTTTTCCTGAAAATATATTATTTTAGGACACATTAAGTTCTAAGTTTACAGTAGACTGATTGTACTGATTATGTTCCCAATTTTGTAATTGGCATAAGAAGCAGAGGAATGGAGTGGCTTTATTCCAGGATAGCAGACCAATCAATCTTAGAGAACATTAAGTTACATGTATGCTACACGGTTTAAGATAGCAATAAAAACTATCTCAGACTCTGTCAAAGGGCAAGATGCTGGGCGACTAAGCTATGCAATTTTGTCTCAAACTAGAATATAATGACATAGCCTTGCAATATCAATTCTACAATTTCAGACTATTCTGTGCAACAACGATGGGGTATTGAACAAGTTTATGAATCAACCTTGGTTCTGCATGTCTGGTTCACCCAATACTGAGACCACATTGACAGAGGTGTACAAGGTCAGTGGACATCTTCTGTTAGAGATAGGACATGACCCCTGGTACTCTTAGTGGGAATAAACTGATAGCCAAATCTATTGATCAACATTGTCCACACTGCTCTGTGATCTTTGGCTATTTCTGGCCACAGACCTATGACAAATCTTTTAGTAGACCTCTTAACAACCTTATAAGGTAGATACTATTATTATCCCAGTATTGTAGATTAAAAAAAACTGAGGCACAGGACAATTAAGATTGCAGTGAGAAAGTGATAGAGACAGGCAATCTGGCTGTAGTTCAGAGCTTCTAACCACTTATTATGGGCTGAATTGTGCCCCTACAAAATTCTTATGTTGAAGTCCTAATCCTCAGTACCTCAGAATGTGACTGTATTTGGAGAAAGGGTCTTTAAAGAGGTAATTAAATTAAATAGGGCCACTAATACAACATGACTGGTATTCTTACAAGAAGAGGAGACTGGGGTATAGACAATGATGGAGGAAAGAATGTATGAAGACAAAGGGAGAAAATGGACATGTATAGTAAGCCAAGGAGGGAGGCCTTAGAATGAATCCAACCCGGGTGACACTTTGTTCTTTCACTTCTTGCCTCCAGAACTGTGAGGAAATAAATTTCTGTTGTTTAAATCACTTAATCTGTGGTATTTGTTATGGCAGCCCTAGCAATCTAATATACCACTACATTGCCTAATTTATAAAATAAACTTTATCATAGGTATCTGTATATATGAAAAGAAAACAGTATATATAGGTTGTGATAATATCCACAGTTTCAGGCATCCATGTAGGGTCTTGGAACTTATTCCCCCTGGATAAGGGGAGACTAGTAAACTTGGTTTTTAAACCGAGTGACTGCCAGTAGAAACAGTACCATTAGCAAGTGTCCAGTGGCGATGTCCTAAGCATACTATTCCAATGTCAGGATCTTAAAAAATTTTTTAATTTATTTATTTTTAATGATAATATATTCACATTAAAAATACTGAAATGTGTGAAAGGCCATATTGTGAAAAATTTCCTACCCACATTGCTAGGTTACCTAGTTCCTTTCTGAATACAACCAATATTTCTTGTTTCTTGTGTGCCCTTCTAAAGATACTCTTTGCATATAAAACCAAAGATATTCATATATTTATATATTCCTTCTAGTTACTTATTATAGACACTATACTAGCTCTTAAATTTTTTCATAGAGGTATCTTGGAAATTGCTCTTATATGCAGAGATTTAAATAAAGACTGCTTGTTCTGAATTGCAACTTGGGTTCTAAATATAATCTTTACTTACATTTTGCAAACCGGAGATAATGGAAATGTCTGAAGTTCTGCACATAATGAATTAACTGAAGAATGTTGCCATGATAGGTTTAGAGGAGTTAGTGGCATTTCTAACTCTCCTGGAATATATGAAAATGAAAGTTACGTAAACATTGAATAATATTAAGTAGGCCAGGCACGGTGGCTCACACCTGTAATTCTAACACTTTGGGAGGCTGAGGTGGGAGGATCACTTGAGTCCAGGAGTTTAAGACTCAGGCAACGTGGCAAGATCCAGTCTCTACAAAAAGTACAAAATTAGAAAGCAATGTTGGCACATGTTTGTAGTCCTAGCTATCTGGGAAGCTGAGCTGGAAGGATTGCTTGAGCCCAGGAATTTGAGGTTGCAGTGAGCTGTGGTTATGCCACTGTACTCTAGCCTGGGCAACAGAGCAAGACTTTGTCTCTAAAAAAAATAATAAATAAAAATTAAGTATAATTTAGAACTTTTTGTAAGCAACTATTATGTTTGATCATTCTGTTACATCAAAAATATTTCTATAGCCGGGCGCGGTGGCTCACGCCTGTAATCCCAGCACTTTGGGAGGCTGAGGCGGGTGGATCACGAGGTCAAGAGATCGAGACCATCCTGGTCAACATGGTGAAACCCCGTCTCTACTAAAAAAATACAAAAAATTATCTGGGCATGGTGGCACGTGCCTGTAATCCCTGCTACTAAGGAGGCTGAGGCAGGAGAATTGCCTGAACCCAGGAGGCGGAGGTTGCGGTGAGCCGAGATTGCGCCATTGCACTCCAGCCTGGGTAACAAGAGCGAAACTCCGTCTCAAAAAAAAAAAAAAAAAAAAATTTCTATAAAAAGAAATTTGAATTGAGATACAAAATAAATGTCCATCTATATAAGGAATTACATATATATCGCATTGTGTCTCAACTACAATTGTGGTGATTTTTAAAAAATACATTGATAGCTAAACTTCACTGAGTTTACTGTGTTTCAGATGAATTCTGAGAGCTTTATATATTAAGGCTTTTGATTCTGACAGTTTGTGTTGTCAGTACTTAGGTGATAGGATTATTTTTATTTCCAAAGAAAGAAAAAAATAATTATTTTTATTTTCATTAGTGATGTTAAACAAACTGTATTATAAAGAGTAATTATTCATCTTAATGACTCTGAACTCTAGATGGCCTAGCACAGAATTATATATTTATATGGTAGACTTGAAAAACTAATTTTCATGTATTGATAACTAGTGGTGTGGTTTCATTACTTTCATAAATAAAGCAGCAAACTTTCAAATAGATAATTCAGATGATCCAATTATAAATGTAATTAAGTAACAGTGCCATTAATATAGTTAAGGAGCAACACAATTTGGCATCGTACTGGAACAAAAGATGATTCTGAGATTCCAAATTTGGTAGAATAATGATATTAAAAATAATGATGACACAGAGAATGATAAGATTGCTTTGGGAGATAAAAAATTCAAAATTTTAAAAAATGTCACAGTGATCAGTAAGATTGCTAATACTGAGATAAAATATGAAATTTTATTTACTGAGCTATACTATTTTAAGTTTTCTATTTTTAATATTAATTCTGTTTCCTCCATTCCTCTTCCACATCATAACTCCCATCTATGTATTATTCAGTTTGTTTATTTATTTATTTTTATTTTTTTTGTTGTCATTGTTTATTTGTTTTGAGACAGAGTCTAGCTCTGTCACCCAGGCTGGAGTGCAGTGGTGCAATCTCGGCTCACTGCAACCTCCACCTTACCAGTTTAAGCCATTCTCATGCCTCAGCCTCCTGAGTATCTGGGATTACAGGCATGTGCCACCACATCAGCCTCACTAATTTTTGTAATTTTAGTAAAGATGTGGTTTTGTCATATTGGCTGGTCTTGAACTCCTCATCTCAAGTGATCTGCCCACCTCAGCCTCCCAAAGTGCTGAGATTATAGGCGTGAGCCACCATGCCCAGCCTATTATTCAGTTTTGATTCCAGTAGGATTCTGAGTTAGTGATAGTAATAAAGGGGCAAATAAGAAAAAATGACATAGGATTATAACAATCAAATTTTAAACATGGAAACTGACTCACAGTACATTGTATATGCAAATATACTGTACTTTTACAACATAAATAGGTAATCTCTGATAAGCTTAATGATTTATCAAAATTTCTACCTGGTTTACTGCACTTTTCTGGTTCACTCTGGCTTTGAATGGTCAAAATCTCTGCGGAGCTCAATTTTATATCCCCGATATCCTCAATTCCATGCTTGTTAGTAAGATCTAAAAAGGAAGAAACTCTACTATTAGCAAGTGTACAATTAAATTAATTTTTTGTAACCTTGTTCAGTGACATTTTCCTTTTAAAGTATCTTTATTGTTTTATTTCATGTCAATTTTTCCCTTTAGAGAGAAGTAGAGATTTATACTTCTGAAGAAAATGCTAACTTAGGTGAATAACTATTCCCCCACGCACACCCCTTGTTACCCCTCAAATGTCAATCAAAATTACCAAAGGGAAATAAAAACGGAAAAATCTACATAATCACTGGAAGGTAAGATAGGGTGGGTAATCCATAAGCCACAAACTTCAAAGAATGAGCTCACTTTGAAGGGTTTCATCTCTATCTATCGATATGTGATGACTTTCTATGCCTTGCTTAGCTGGAACTCTACTTCTCTATATTAATATTGCCACTTTGGCTTTCTTTTTTCTTTCTTTTATCTTCCTTCTTTCCTCCCTCTCTTCTTTTTTTCCTCACTTCTTCCATCCTTTCCAGCTGTCTGACACATTTTACCTTTTATCTCCTTCCTTTCTTCCTTCTTTTCTTCTTCCCTCCCTCTTTCCTTCCCTCCTTCTTTCCTTCCCTCTTCCTTTCCCTCCCTCCGTCCTTTGTTCTTCTTTCTTTCTTTTTTTCTCTTTCTTTCCTCCCTTCTTTCTATCGCTTTTTCTCTCTTTCATTTCTCCTTCCTCATTCCTTTCTAGCTGTCTGACACATTTTGCCTATCCCTTTTTTATCTTTTGGATTTCTTTCTTCCCGCCCTCCTTTTCTTCCTGCTTTCCTTCCCCTCCCTGGATGTCTGACACATTTTGCCAAACCTTTTATTTTCCCCTTCCTCCCTCCTTCCCTCCCTCCCTTCCTTCCTTCCTTCCTTCCTTCCTTCCTTCCTTCCTTCCTTCCTTCCTTCCCTCCCTCCCTCCCTCCCTCCCTCCTTCCTTCTCCAGCTGTCATACATTTTGCCTATCCCTTTATTTTTTACCTTTTGGTTTTCTCTCTCTTTCTTTCTTTCTTTCTTTCTTTCCTTCCTTCCTTCCCTCCCTCCCTCCCTCCCTCCCTCCCTCCCTCCCTCCCTCCCTCCTTCCTTCCTTCTTGGCTCAACTCTTGTAAACACCATACATGGTGGTTCTTTGTGGTAAGACTTTTTTTTTTTTTTTTTGGTATTTTGTTGTTTGTGAAATTGTGATGCATCTTACAATCTGTATGTGCATTTAGAATGTTTCTTTCTTCCCTAAAAATTCTTAAGTTGATAATATATCTTGCAGTTGATAGGATCTTTGAATTAGACATATGGTCATTATATTTCCTTTTTAAATTTAATCTAAGAATCAGTCTCTCTTTTAATAGAGAAGCTTAACCTATTTACGTTTATTTTAACAAAGGCGATACTTTTATAATCTTATTTTATGCTTCCAATGCCTTTTGCTTGCTTTGTTCTCCTTTATTTCCATAGAATTAAATCTGTTGCTCAGAGTTTTCTTTTTTTTTTTCTCTGTTAGTTCAGAAATTATACATGTTTTTTCTTCAACTTTTATTTTAAGTTGAAGGTACATGTGCAGGACGTGCAAGTTTGTTACATAGGTAAGCATGTGCCATGGTGGTTTGCTGCACAGATCATCACATCACTTAGGTAGTAAGCCCAGCATCCATTAGCTATTATTCCTGATGCTTTTCCTCCTCATACATCACCCTCTGATAGGCCCCAGTGTGTGTTGTTCTCCCCACCATGTGTACATGTGTTCTCATTATTCAGTTCCCACTTATAAATGAGAACATGCAGTGTTTAACTTTCTGTTCCTGCATTACTTTGCTGAAGACAATGACCTCCAACTCTATCCATGTCCCTGCAAAGGACATCATCAAATTCATTTTTATGGCTGTACAGCATTTCATGGTATATATGTACCACATTTCTTTATTCAGTCTATCATTGATGGGCATTTAGATTGGTTCCATGTCTTTGCTATTGTGAATAGTGCTACAATGAACATATACATACATGTATCTTTATCATAGAATAATTTATATTCCTTTGGGTATATAGCCAGTAATGGGATTGCTGGGTCAAATGGTATTTCTGCTTCTAGGTCTTTGAGGAATCACCACACTGTCTTCCACAATGGTTGTACTAATTTGCACTCCCATCAATAGTGTAAAAGCATTCCTTTTTCTCCACAATCTTGCCAACATCTGTTGTTTTTTGACTTTTTAATAATAGTCATTCTGACTGGCATGAGATGGTATCTCATAGTGGCTTTGATTTGCATTTCTCTAATGATCAGTGATGTTGAGGTTTTGTTCATGTTTCTTGGCCACCTGTATTATTTCTTCTTCTTCTTCTTCTTCTTCTTCCTCTTTCTTCTTCTTTCTTCTTCTTCTTCCTCTTTCTTCCTCTTTCTTCTTCTTTCTTCTTCTTCTTCTTCCTTCTTCCTTCTTTCTTCTTTCTTTCTTTTCTTTTCTTCTTTCTTCTTTCTTCTTCTTCTTTCTTCTTCTTCTTCTTTCATCTTCTTCTTCTTCTTCTTTTCTTCTTCTTCTTTCTTCTTCTTCTTTCTTCTTCTTCTTTCTTCTTCTTCTTTCTTCTTCTTCCTCCTCCTCCTCCTCCTCCTCCTCCCCTTCTTCTTCCTCCTCCTCCTCCTCCTCTTCTTCTTCTTCTTCTTCTTCTTCTTCTTCTTCTTCTTCTTCCTCTTCTTCTTCTTCCTTTTCTTTCTTCTTTTTGGAGACAGAGCCTTCCTCTGTCACCCAGGCTAGATGGAGTGCAATGGTGGGATCTTGGCTCACTGCAACCTCTACCTCCCAGGTTCAAGTGATTCTCCTGCCTCGGCCTCCCGAGTAGCTGGAACTACAAGCACATGCCACCACACCTGGTTAATTTTTGTATTTTTTAGTAGAGATGGGGTTTTACCTTGTTGGCTAGGCTGGTCTCAAACTCCTGACCTCAAGTGATCCACCCATCTTGGCCTCCCAAAGTGCTGATTACAGGTGTGATTACAGGTGTGAGCCTCTGTGCCTGGCCGTATATCTTCTTTTGAGAAGTGTCTGTTCATGTCCTTTGCCCACTTTTTAATGGGGTTGTTTGTTTTTCTCTTGTACATTTGTTTAAGTTCTTTGTAGACTCTGGATATTAGACCTTTGTCAAATGGATAGATTACAAAAATTTTGTCCCATTTTGTAGTTTGTCTGTTCACTCTGATGATAGTTTCTTTTGCTGTGCAGAAGCTCTTTAGTTTAATTAAATCCCATTTTTGCCTAGATTATTTCTAGAGTTTTTATAGTTTGGGGTTTTACATTTAAGTCTTTAATCCATCTTGAGTTAATTCTTGTATATGGTATAAGAAAGGGATCCAGTTTTAATTTTCTGCATATAGCTAGCTAGCTCTCCCAGCACCATTTATTAACCTTTCCCCATTGCTTATTTTTGTCAAGTTGTTGAAGATCAGATGGTTGTACATGTGTGGTCATATTTGAGTTCTCTATTCTGTTCCATTGGTCTATGTGTCTGTTCTTGTACCAGTAACATGCTGTTTTGGTTACTGGTGCCTTATATCATAGTTTGAAGTTGGGTAACATGATGCCTCCAGCTTTGTTCTTTTTGCTTAGGATTGTTTTGGCTATTTGGACTGTTTTTTGGTTCCATACAAACTGCTTGCCTGTTGTTGGTGTATAGGAATGCTAGCAATTTTTACACATTGATTTTGTATCCTGAGATGTTGCTGAAGTTGCTTATCAGTTTAAGAAGATTTTGAGCTGAGAACATCTTATTTTAAATCAATGCATTATCATTAATAAAATATGTATTTCAATCTTTATTTTTTCTATCTATTAAAAAAGGCTGCATCTCAGTTGTCCTATTTTTTAAATGAGAAACTTAGCATATTTTTTTCACCAAAACTTTCTCCTTTTGAAACAGATTAATCTAATAAAAGCTGAGATCTCTGAGATTAACTGATGTTTCAAATGAGATTATAATTGATTTCTTTCAAAATTATCTGGCTTTTGGTTCAAGATTAACCACTGTTTCAAATGAGATTATAATTCATTTCTTTCAAAATTATCTGGCTTTTGGTTTAAGAAAGCAGGAAACATATATATTAGTTCTCCCTTCTAAATCCTATAGAATGACAGTAACCATCTATAAAATGTATAAAGTGAGAAGAAGAGGAAGGAAAATTCATCTTCAGTCCAGAGTTATTAATAGAATCCTAGGAGATAAAAAGAAAATTAAAAAACTAATATATAAAACAATGGAATTTTACATTTAGCAATAGCTCCTTTGGACCAATCTTCCTATAGACAACATTTATAACATTTATAACTCTGAACAAAATATGTAAAATGACTGTCTGAAGGTACTACAGTCTAAAGCAGGCAGAAATGGGAAGGGGATTGATACTGAGTGAATTTCCTATTTTTATAGCTTTTCACCTGAAGGGATGACCTATTTGGTACTACCTGGGTCAACTAGAACTTGTATAAAAATCTGCAGTCTTATTATCTTGAAGAATTAGAGGACATTTCTACCTGATAGAGTTCAGGGTTATCACAGCAGCTGGAAGATAAAGGAGGAAATCCAGGAAGGGAGAGAGCAACAGAAGAGGAGCCCCAAACTCTATGTATATACTCTGCATAATAAATCTCTGGATGATCCCTGAACTACACATGTATGGGGCAGATTGAAAGCATATCAGCTAAGGCTATATAAAGATTTCAGCTCTTTCCCACCACAGCAGAGACAAAATTTATAGTTTGAGTTAGGCCAGATTAAGAGCCTACTAAAACAAACAGAGAAAGAAACTCTCTTCAAAGGAACATAGCAAACTAAATTTTCTATAATGTATCGGGTGCCATGCCAGGATACAATCCAAATACATTAAGTAAAATGAAAAAACAGGAACATGTGACTCATTCTCTACAAAAAAATATGTCCCTGGACACTAACTGTGAGATGACTCAGATTTTGAAATTAGTATCCAAAGATTTCAAAGCAGTAATAACATAATGTAGTAATCACCATGCTAAAGGATATAGAGAAAAATATGGCTGTAATGAATGAACAAATAGAAATTATCAGCAGTGAAAGAGAAAGTACAAAAAAGAACAAGTGGAAAATTTAAAACAATATCTGAAATAAAACATTCACTGGATGGAATTAACAGAAAATTAGAGCTGACATGAGTCAGTGAAATTGAAGACAGAACAACAGAAATTACCCAATCTGAAAAACGATAAGGAAAAAAATGGGATAAAAATGAACAGATGTCAGGTGCAGTGGTTCATGTCTGTAATCCTAGCACTTTGGGAGGCCAAGGTGGGAGGATCATTTGTGCCCAGGAGTTCAAGACTAGCCTGAGCAACATAGTGAGACCCCGTCTCAACAATAAAAGAAGAAAGAAAAAATGAACAGAGCTTCAGTGACTGTGAGACAATTTATCTATCTAGTTTTAAAACTATGTATCTTTGTATTTTTGTCATAAAATATAATTCTGTGGTAATCAAGAACTATTCACAAAGCAATTCCCTTGGTCAGTTGCCTTCAATGATGAACTCCATCAAACATTTTTAAAAAATCAACATCAATTATTTAGTCACTCCTAAAAATAGAAGTGAATGATCCTTAAGTCATTCTATGAGGCCCATATTATTCTGATACCAAAACCAGACAAAGGCATCACAGGAAAATAAAACTACAGACCAATATTTAAGAATATTGACAAAAAATTAATAATCTAGTTTTAAAAAGTGGGATTTATTGCAGTAATGCAAAGTAGATTGAAAATCCCAAACTGAAAGTAATATACCATATCAAAAGGATAAAAAAATTTTAAAACCATGATTATTCAATAAAAAATAATTCTAAAAAGAAAACCCTCAACAAAATACTAGTTAACTGGATTTTGACAGCAGATTACAAGGATTATATACTATGATCAAGAGAAATTTTTTTCACCTGAGATGCAAGGATAGTTCAACATATGCAAATCAATAAATGTGATACACTACATTAATAGAATGAGGGGCAAGAACCATATGACCATCTCTATAGATGCAAAAAAGGCATTTGACAAAATTCAATATGCTTTCATGATAAAAACTCTAAAAAAATTAGGTATTGACAAATAATGCCTAATCTCACCACTTCTACGTGGAATCTAAAAAGCTGAACTTATAGAAACAGAGAATAGAAGAGTGGTTACCAGAGGCTAGGGTGTAGGGGACATGAGGAGAAGTTGGTTAAAGGGTATAAACTTTCATTTACAAGATGAACAGGTTCTAGAGAACTAATGCACAGCATGGTGACTATAGTTAATAATAATGCATTGTACACTTGAAATTTACTAAGAAAGTAGATTTTAAGTATTCTCATCACATACAAAAAAGTGGTAAAATTTTTTATGGTAAACATTTCACAACGTATATGTATATCAAAATGTTATACACCTTAAGTATATACAATTTTGTCACAAAAACATTTCCTTAAAAATTCAAGTAATCCCAAAGGAGGCAGAAAAGGAGGAATTGAGAAACAAAAACAAATGAGACAAGCTTATAATTCAACTAAAAAAAATAAACCAACTAAAATGGGCAAAGGATCTGAGTAGACATTTCTCCAAAGAAGATATACAAATATGACCAATAGTATATGAAAAGATGTTCGACATCCTTATCTATCTGGAAAATGCAAATCAAAACCGCAATGAGATATCACTTCACACCTAGTAGGATGGGTATAAAAAAGTTATATAATAACAAGTTTCAGAGAGGATGTAGGTAATTGGAACTCTTACACATTGTTGGAGGGAGTGAAATAGTGTAGTTATTTTGGAAAACAGTCTGGTAATTCCTCAAAAAGTTAAACATAGAGTTACCATTTGATCTAGCAATTCCACTCCTAGGTATATATCCAAGAGAGATGAAAACATATGTGTGCACAAAAACTTGTACCTAAATGTTCATAGCAGTATTACTTTTAAGCTAAAAGGACAGCGCAAATATCTATGAACAGATACATGGACAGACAAAATGTGATATAGCCACACAATGGAATATTGTTTAGCCATAAAAATGAATGAAATACTGGTATTATTGGATAATGTCAATAAACTTGAAAATATTATGCTAAGTGAAATAAGTCACAGATCACATATTATATGATTCAATTTTTATTAAATGTTCAGAATAGGCAAATCTATAGTTTTACTTACCCTTTGATCATGGGAAATAGGAAGGGAGCTATGCCTTGAGGAATCCCTGTAGCAGGCAAATTTATTGCTATACTAAGCAGTTTTATTGTTATTGTTGTCACAACCCAAAGGTACCTGGGACACTGCCCACCCCTGACCTTTCAATAGTGTGTATAACTTTACTTGTTAGAAGTCCTCTGTGGCAATGACTTCATTTTACTTAGTACAGCATCTGAGTCAAGTGAAGGCGGGAAGTTTAACAGTATAATCACTCAATAAAGTCATTTGTTGTCCTTTACATTAGCATTTATGGAGCTGAGATTTGTGTCCTGCCAATAAGTCCATGACCCACCCTGCATTTTGAGATCTACTATATTTACAAGTTCTGGTATGGATTTGATCTGCTTTCCCAGGTTGGCTTTTTATTCTCTTGCTTTGATTTGTAGGATGATCAGTAATTCCCTGATTTAGTCTTATCTGTAAGAATTCCTTAAAGTCTGTGGTCTGTTCATGGCAAACAGCCCTGTTCTCAATGGATATCACAGATCCCCCTTCCATTCCTCCATGATATTATATATCTTTTATCATTTTAAATGGAATTTATGAGAGGGCAGTTAAATATTTGGGGTCATATTGTCATTAAAAATAACTCAATAGTATTTACTAAGACTAAATGGGATGAAACCATCTAAGTTCTAAGTTTTGACTCTCCTAGTCATCTGACTCCACAAATCCTCACTCTGAGCTCTTTATTGTGAGCCTCTCCATAGCTAACTAATGTCAGTATAGAAATTGATAATGTTTTCATTGTTTATAAGAAAACAATTCTTTAAAAAATTTGTATAGTCATAGGTGTTTTAGTTTTATTTGTATAATTATCTTGAAATGATTAAATTTCAGAGAAGTTTTAAACCTGAAAGTCATATAAAGAGAATGACAATGAGAAAAGAATCTCATCAAAAATAATACTGAGATTTCAACATGTAACTTGCAGAACATTTTTTACAAAATCTGGAGGTTCAGAAAAATTTGAATAAATAAGAACCTATGTAACAAACATTCTTAAGTGGTTTTTACAAGTAATACATTTTAAAATTAATTCTCACCTCTTTTGAAAAGCTTTTCAATTTCATCGACGTAGGTTATTATTTCTGGCACTAGGTTTAATGATTCCTTCAGTTCCGAGAGTGATGGAATATCAATTTCTTGTTTGTGGCTTGGAGGTATTAAGAAGTCATACTCAATAAGAAAATGTGATGGCTGAAAAAAAAACATATAGTTTTAAAAAGTTTTTAGGGAGGCTTTCCAAATAAATATTTTTGAAATTGTAAGTGGACAAAATTTGCTTAAATGATGTACCAAAATTTAAACTAAATCTGCATTCAAAATTGTTAAAGCTATATATACTTTTAAAAAACAGAAATGTAGCAACTAAAAATACATTCTATTATAAGCAATGTTCTCTCTGACTATTGTATTTTATGGTCACTCATTACATTAGTGATGTACAACACCCCTAGATGCAGAATTAGCTTCTTTTTGGCTAATAGCAAATTGTAAATATTTTAAATTAAAAACAGTCACTGTAGTAGATGAGAGATAATAAAGGGAGACAAGTGAAATGAGATCATGGAATGGAACAGATCTTTACTATGCTCCACAGAGTATGTTTCTCTTTCATTCCAATAGACGACTCCTCAACAAGAGAGACTAAGCCCACAACTCTCAGAGTTAACAGGGGAAGCAAGAGATACTGGAGGAATGGGGCCTACAGGTGAATTAATATTTTTACCATGATGTTCAAATTTTTACTGTAAGGAAACCGCTTAAATGCTTTAAGTCCATTAAAATTGCCAAATATAAAACATTTTAAGTTGTCCTAAAAAAAGTTTTTTAAGTAATTTTGTGAATACATCTAATCTATATGGGCCTAGATTTCTGAGCTTGTTCAACAGCAAAACGTTATTGCACTCTCGACTGCTAAAATTCTTTACATACTAAATATTATAATCATTTTGTGTTATTGAAACTAAATGCATCTTTAGAAGTTTGGTATTTAATATACAAAAGATGTTATATCATCCTTGTTAAACACTGGCAGAAAACTGAAATTCAGTCTTGGACCATCTATATTCTTACTCTCACAATATTCTCATTAGCTCAAGTACTATTTTTTGTGTATCATTCACAAATCAATATTTCTAGTTCCAGTGTCCAATTTTTAAACTAGACATGACTACTAAATTTTTTATATCCAGGTATATTGATTAGAATTATTGGAAGAGATTTTAAAGTTCCCTATGTCTGGGCTGTACACCAGACCAATTAATCAGAATATGTCTGTGTAGAACTCAGGCTTCAATTTTTTTTAAACTATTCAAATAATCCCAACATACAGCCAAGGCTGAGAACCACTATTTAGAAGTAATTTTGACTCCTTAATTGATACATGTTCATTCCATTATCAAATATTTTAATCTGATCATTGTAGACAGTCAATGTATATTATAAAAATTTACAAAAGTATGCCTCACTACTTTTATTAAAATATTATTGAAAGCAAATATTACAACCTTATTTGAACGTATTGTATCTTCTAGTTTCTCCTGACAAAAGTTCTCTTTGTCCATACAAAAATCTTCTTTCCCAAAAACTTCCAAATCTTCTTGAAGAGAAAAACATCCCCTTAAAAAAATATTAATTAGTGTTTACTAAAAGCAAGTCACACACTAAATGTAGCTAACCGAAACATGTAATCATTAAAATTAAAGTTGAGGTAAAATAATGCTAAAAAATTATTGATAACATAAGTTTGTGATCACACAAAAACGTTTTCACCTCTTAAAAATATTTACAGCATTGGTCAATTAGGAAAGTACCTGAAAAAATTAGCTGCTGTGAAGATCTGTCCTTTGAAATCTAAAAGAGGATCCTTTACCAAAAATAGTTTTAGTCTACTCAAGAGAGTATGCAAAGTTGGTAGGTGATTTCTATTATTTACAAAAAGTATTTCTTCATCATCAATAAATAAACCTGAAAAGAAATAACGAACATAAAGGAATAAGAAAAAAACTAAAAGTTATCCAAAGGGATCTAGATAGTTAATGTAATCAGTCATTAGATACAACTGGGTTTTTCAATCACATTTAAACTCTAGTTCTTCATCGTACTGCTCATATAAAGCATGTAGCATAGTACTGGAACATAGGTAAAAGCACAGTAAATTTTAATATTGTCTACTACACTGAGGAGTAGCCACATATCCCAAAAGAGCTGTAATGGCTAATACTTTATCAATAAAGATTAATCAGTGGAGGAAAATATCTTATAAACTTACGCTTCAAAATAGCCAGAAGTAGCCTAAGCAAAATTTTAAAGAAATAAAAGTATTTGACTTCTGCTGGCCCTGGTCTTCTCTGCGTCATTTTACCTCTTAATATCTCCAATTCATCCCCCAGAGTATCTGACATGGAGGGAATGGAGATGGTTTGCAGTGCCTACAAATGAGACTAACTGATTCTATTATTCTTAAGTTATTCATACATGGTTGCTATAGAATTATTTACAGTGAAAGTTATATAGCAAAAAATCATACTCAAGGAGTATGATATATCTTATATATTAAGAAACACTACTGTTAACAGTTAATTTCTGGAATAAATTTCTCTCTGTCTCCACCCTGCCATGTTTGGGTTTCTTTAGAATCTTGGCTGTCTAACAGCTTTAACAGTTTCTAAGTCACAGGAAGGAACTAAAAATTTGCCTGCAATTCTTCAATAAGTTTCTGAGTGGAAAGAGAAAAAGGAAAATATAAGTTCAGACGAAGAAGTACTCAAAAACTCAAGCTCCCAAAAAAGAAAGCCATCCTGAAAGGATAGTAATGGTTTCTTGTTCTGGGTATTGACTTTTCAGTTAAGTGATGAAGGATGGCATGAGAAAAGAATAGTATCGAGTTTTCAGGTACTAACGTCTCCTATGGTCAACTACATAATTGGTATGCAGGCAGCTAGGGAACATACCTTTGCTTGGTGCTAACTTGATATGCCATAAGAAAACTTGTGGTATGAACTAGCCTCCTAAGAGATATTATTTATCTGACTTAAGTTCCCAACAATCTCATGCCTGAAAGCTTCCCATGACACATCAAAGGAAATTAATTAATTCCATGTCTAAGGAGGGTTTATCTGAGACAGTTAAATATGGTTTGTTTACTTGTATAATTCATTCTGTAAGTATTAGTGAAATCACATTAATAGTAAAAACCCAAACAGCATTAGTTTACATCCCATATCCACCTTCTGCTTCTAAGCACAGATCCTCCAGCCATCTTCCCTATCTAGAGCCTCATACTGATATTTCTGGGACTAAATGGCTGGTATCTAAAGTCAATTATGTGGTCTCGTTTTCCATCCACACTTTTTGATGGAACCACTTGAGGGCAGCATCATACCACAACCAATGTTCTTTGTCATTCTGCTAAGATTGTTTATAGGAAGAGTGCCATTTCCTTACATTCTTCAGGTTATATAGCATGCCCTGAAGTTCTTATTTTATTACAGCTAATATATGTACTATACAGATATAAGGAGACTGTTTTCCTCTATTGTAGAGAAATATTAAATTGTCACCAGGAAATAAAATTCTGGCTAGTTTACTATGAAAAGAAGCAGAAAAAGGTCTACTAATATGAAAGAAGAGAAGTTTATTCTTTATAAAGGACACTTTTGTTTTCCTAGAAAATTCAAGATAATGAAATGAAAACAAAGGAATTCACTAAGTTGTCTGATAAAAATTATACAATTAATGTTTTTTTAAATATATATAAACTTGGTCATAAAAATTAGTGAAAAAAACATAATGGTCACCAATTTGTGAAATACCAAGGACTAAACATAAATATATTCAGAAAACATATGCAGGAAATGATAAAACTTTATTGAAGAGCATTTTTTTTTTTAAATTTGAAGAAAAGGCAAGATAAAACACTTTCCTACCTAGAAAGGCTAACTATGGATAACATTTTAAAGGATCCCATTACCATTTCAAGAGGTCTGTTTTAGCACTTGGAAAAGTGATTACAAAGTAAATCTGGAAGAATGTAGTTATGAGAGTAGAAAAAAGTTTTAAAAAGAGGAGATTATTAAAATGTTATAATTATATATTAAATAGTTAAAACTATATGATACTGACACAGTAATAGGCAAAATAGATCATAATAGAAAATCCAGAAATAAATTCTAATGTGGTTAAGGATTTAACACATAATGTAAGTGGCATTTTTAATCTGTGGGAAAGAAAGGACCATTTCATAAATGATATTGAGGCAATTGCTAAAACACTTGGAAAAAAAAATTTTATTCCTACTTTTAAACATATGTCAAAATCTAAACTAAAACCACACACCTTTGGCTGGGGGTGGTGGCTCACACCTGTAATTACAGTACTTTGGGAGGCAGGTGGATCACTTGAGGTCAGGAGTTCGAGACCAGCCTGGCCTACGTGGCAAAAACCCCTTCTCTACTGAAAATAAAAAGTTTAGCTAGGTGTGCTGGTGGGCACCTATAATCCCAGCTACTTGGGAGGCTGAGGTAGGAGAATTACTTGAACCCAGGAGGTGGAGGTTGCAGTGAGCCGAGATCACACCAGTGCACTCCAGCTTGGGCCACAGAGCAAGACTCTATCTCAAAAACCAAAAAATTAAAAAAACCTGCACACCTTCAAGAAAATACAAATAAATATTTATCTAATTAAGAAAGAATTTTCTAAGTATAAAAGGAATGAAAGAAACCATAAAGGAAAACAACTGGCAGAATTGGTTAGGTCCAAGTTAAATATATTTGGAGTTAATACCTTTATAAATAAAGATAAAATATATGTCAAAATATAGACAAAAGAGAAAATCATTTCACAAAAGAAAAAGATGCAGATGGCCAATAAATACCAATGTTTATTAATTTTTTTATGACCAGTTTGTCAACAACAAACCTGTAATTTTAAAGATGCAAATAAAAATATAATTCTTTTGCCCATCACATTGATTTAAATGTATTACTATAACATCAGCAGTAATATATCCAATGATGATAATGCTAGCATAAACAGGGCATTCTCATACCATACTAGTGGACATATAACTTAAAAAGAACTTATACTAAATAAATCAATTTCTAGGAATTCATGCTAAGGAAATAATTGGAAATAAGAATACATATTTATATTCATATTTGAAACTAAAAACATTAGTGCTCTCAAATTTGGATATGTGTGATACATATATAAGATTAAAAACTGCAATTATTAAAAGCCACACTTTTGTCCAGCATGGTGGCTCACATCTGTAATCCCAGCACTTTGGGAGGCTAAGGTGGGAGGATTGCTTGAGGCTAGGAGTTTGAGACCAGCCTGGGCAACACAGGGAGATCCTGTCTCTACAAAAAAATTAAAAATTAGTCAGGCATGGTGGCACAGCTCTTGTCTCAGCTACTTAGGAGGCTGACACAGGAGGATCACTTGAGCCTGAGGGTTTCAAGGCTGCAGTGAGCTGTGATTGCAACACTATACTCCAGCCTGAGCAACAAAGACCCTGTCTCAATTTAAAAAAAAAAAGAGAGAGACAAAGCTATGCTTTTGTAGAAAACTCCAGCATATAAATAATAAATAATAAAATAATAAATAATAAAATATTCCCAAGTCTATGTTAATATTTAAAAATAATACAATGTATATGCAGTATAGTCACAACAGTAAAACAATTTATCTTTGAACTATAGAACTATGAGTTTTTATTAAAGGGACATTCTATATATTTAAGATGTAGATATCTTAATATGTGGAACAACATAACATTCAATCTTCATTCATGATTAAAAGCTGTTATCAAACTAGGAACAGAAGGAATCTTCCTCAACCCACTAAAGGAAATGTTTCTAATATTTCACCATTGAAAATGACATAAACATGAAATGTCAGAAGCATTTCCTTTACCATCAGAAATAAACAAGTATAGCAACTATCACGGTTTCTACTAAACAAAGTTTTAGAGGTTTTAGTCAGCATAGTCAGAACAACAAAAAAAAGATGTAACTATTGTAAAGGAAGAAATAGCCATTATTCACAGATAATATGAATATATATATTAGAATTAGTTATTGGAATTACTATGAGAGTTTAGGAGGTAGATAAATATAAGAATATTATTGCAGATGCAGTTGCTGATAAAAAAAGAACATTATAAAAATCAACTACCTTTTGTTACACATAAGCAATAAACAGAAACCTTAATTTAGAAATATAAATGATAATGGCAGCTAAAATAGAGTACTTATGGATAAATCTTAGATATGTAACATATATCTGATGAAAATAAAAAATATTAAAAAATAAATTATACATAAAATCTTTATGAAGAAAAATTTTAAACTTCACTGAAAGACATTAAAGACCTCAATAAGTGAACAACAGGAGATTCAAGAAGAGAGAACAAGAGAAAATAATCATCAAAGAAATAAGTCAAGAGAATGTCTTAAAACTGAAGTGCATAAGTATCTACATGGAAAGATACATGATATATCCAGCCTAATATATAACAATAGACCCACAAGGCACACACCACTGTGAAATTTCACAACACTGGAAGAAAAATATTAAAATTTTCAGGATGAAAAAATCTTATTAAAAATTTTAGGAATCAGAATGGCATTGAACTTCTCAACAGCAATACTGGAAGCTAGAATTGAATGGAACAATGCCTTTGAAATTCTGAGAAAAAAATTTGTAACCTGGAATCTATAACTAATCAAACTATCAATGAAATGTGAGGATAGAATTAAGACTTTTTGGATATGGAAGTTTTTAAAAAATTTACTTCCCACATTCCTATTCTCAGGAAACTGTGAGTGGAAATATTCTACTAAAAGGAGGGAATAAACTGACTAAACTGGCAGCTATAAGGTTGAAGAAACAGGAGGCCTAGTACAAGAAAGAAGTGAACAGAATCCTCAGGGATGATGGTGATAATGACTTGTTCTAAAACTAAAATTCCCAAAGAACTATTGGTACACTTGATGCTTGACTGTGTTAAGAGCAGATTTAGACAAACAGGGGAGAGTTTCAGGATCGAGTTCTATGTACTAAATACATAAAAACAAAACAAAACAAAAAAACAGAAAACAAGCATTAACTTTATGAAGTACAGTAATCTCCTTTTATCTGAGATTTCAGTTCCCCACAGTCAACTGCAGTCCAAAAATACTATATTGAATGGAAAATTCCAGAAATAAACAATTCATGTCTTAAATTGCACCGTGTTCTAAGTGGCATGATGAAATCTAGTGCTGTCCTGCTCTGTCCCACCCAAATGTGAATGATCCACTGTTTCCACACTGATATGCCACCTATTCATTTGTCATTTAATAGCTGTCTCAATTCTCAGAACGATTGTCCCTGTATTGCAGTGCTTGTGTTCAAATAACCTTTGTTTTACTTAATTCTCCAATTTTATTGTTAGCTATATATTGCTATTCATCTCTTACTGTGCTTAATTTACAAATTAAAATTTATCATTGGTATGTATGTATAAGAAAAAAACTCTACTGTATAGAGTTTAGTACTATTGGTGATTTCATGCATCCACTGGGCATCTTGCAATGTATCCTCTGTGGATAAGGGGGGACTATTGTACAAGAAAGACATCAATGAACAACACAATACTATTTTCAGCTATAAATAGTGTTTATGCACTCACAATTCTGTAAACACAGGATACTGATCTAACCAAAGTTATAACTACATTGGGAGAGTAGACTATAGGAAGTGTGGGGGTATGTGGTAGTAAGGGTGTAAAAGAGTGAGTACAGCTCCATCTTTATTCTCATGGTGAGAGATCAATATATAGTCTAAAACTAAAAACATCAGGAAATAGTAGTATAAGTATACTATACAGATAAATAAATGACAAAATAGTTTCTTTTAAAACTGTTTTTAAAGAGTTGAAAGTGGTTGCCTTCAGAGAGTGAAAAAATAAGGGCCTGTTGATGAAGTCAGGAAATTACTGCTTTTAAAAAAGTGTTATACAATTATTTTAATTGATGGTGTAGAAAACATAAAATGACACAGAAAAGTGTTTATAAAATCTAAGTAAAAAAAAATTAAAAAGCATATAAATATTACCTTTGGCTGAATATAACAAAGAATTAAACCAAAGATTAATTCAAAAGTCTGGGTTTTGGCCAGGCACAGTGGCTTACACCTGTAATCCCAACACTTTGGGAGGTCAAGGTGGAAAGATCACTTGAACCGGGAGTTTGAGACCAGCCTGGCCAACATGGTGAAACCCTGTCTCTACTAAAAATACAAAACTTAGCTGGGTGTGGTGGCATGTGCCTGTCATTCCAGCTACTGAGGAGGCTGAGCCACGAGAATCACTTGGACCCAGGAGGCGGAGGTTACAGTGAGCTGAGATCACCATTGCACTCCAGCCTGGATGATAGAGCAAGATTCTGACCCAAAAAAAAAAAAAAAAAATGTTTGACAATATTTCCAGGGACCCAAGTTCTTTCCATCTTTCTTTTTGTATTTTGATGTTTTGAGGTAAAATATGATTATTAAAATTTACCATCTTTACTATTTTTTTTTTTGAGACAGTCTTGCTCTGTCACCCAGGTTGGAGTGCAGTGGTACAATCTTCGCTCATCGCAAACTCTGCACCTGGATTGAAACAATTCTCCTTCTTCAGCCTCCCAAGGAGCTGGCTACAGGCATGCACCACCATGCCTGGCTAATTTTTCTATTTTTAGTAGAGGCAGGGTTTCATCATGTTGGCCAGGCTGGTCTCGAACTCCTGAGCTCATGATCCACCTGACTCGGCCTCCCAAAGTGCTAGGATTACTGGAGTAAGCCACTGTACCCGGCCCATCTTTACTATTTTTAAGTGTAGAGTTCAGTGGTAATAAATACATTATGTTCTTTTTTCCACCTTATCCTCCTTCTCTGCTACCCTTCCCGGCCTCTGGTAATCACCATTCTACTCTCTAACTTCATGAGATCCACTTTTTTAGCTCCCACATGAGTGAGAACATGCAAGTCTTTCTGTGCTTGGCTTATTTCACTTAACATAAGGGCCTCCAGTTCCATCCATGTTGTTGCAAATGACAGAATTTCATTCTTTTTTGTGGGTAAATAATATACCACATTTTGTTTATCCATTC